TCCTTGCGTTGACGTGCGTTCCCGGGAGGCCTTTTATAAAGCCTCTCTGATTCCTGTGGAAGGTGACCTGTTTTCTTAATTCGTGGTCCAGAACCTTCTCTATGATTCGGCGCACAATAGAATAAATGGTGATGGGTCTCCAGGAAGGGATTTTGTTTACATCACCTTTCCCCTTATATATTAGTATTGTGCGCCCTTGTCGAAGTGGTTCTGGGACATAGGCCACCTTCAGCATTATCTCCGCAATTGTTCTAATAATATTTGCAACATCAAAATATTTAATCGTGCGGATCAGAACTCCATCAGGCCCCGGCGATGTGTCCATTGATGTTGATTTAATGGCTTTCTTGACGGTTTCTACATCAATGGACACTAAATTTGGCATCGGGGCACACTGCTCGTAATCCGCACGCCTGCAGAGATTTTCGCTCTCAAAGAGGTCTTTATAATATTTTTCGATATCGGCCATCTTTATAGGACACCTCTTAGGAGCATCGGCATTCATAACAGTTTGCACAACTTTTTTTCTTTTATTGTAATAATTATACTGTGCGACTTCGTATTGATACTGCTCCTGCCGACGACTCCTGTCTACCTTGTTCGCTCTTTGCGGATTTGAGACTTGTCCAGCACCCTTATCAGCCACTTTAGTTTTATTTTTTTTTCTCATCCTGTAAAATTTAACGGCTGGGTGCTGGGGACCTGGCAGTTCCGCATTGATATTCTTGAGAAAATTCAGGAACTTGCCTACGGCCTCATCAAAATCCGCAATATTCATTGTGTTTTCTTTTAAGAGATTCTTGAACACGGTAGACCATCCAATAATGTCCTCTTTTATTTTTGATACCTCACCCTCTCCATTTTTTGGACCTATAACATTTTTCACTATGCCCCTCAGTGTATTGGTGTTAGCCTCCCTGGGGTGCTTTTTTGCAATATGGGTTCCAAGACCTCTTTCACCCTTAAAAGAAAGCCCACATATGGGACAAACTTTATTATTAGGGCGTATAACTTCTTCCTCCTGCTCTCTGCTCGCCCCTGCGACATTCTGTGGAACATTTGGCAATGCTGGGAAGACATCATCTATCGAAACTGTCTTTCCCAATAGTACACCTTCTGTGTCTGGCCATTCGACTTTTACAATTTTCTTTTGGCCGCCTTCCGCGGCATCCACAGACATCACAGAGGCAACAACAGCCTCCTGAGCAGGTCCTTCTGTTCTCGGAACCCATACTTTCTGGCCAATTTCGATTTTTCTCATTATTTTTAGGTCCATTCAAAATACAATCTATTTATTCGAGGCCATGTATACCACACGCATGATTACAATAAATTATTTTAAGAAGAATTAATATATAAATAAAAATAAATAAATAAAAACTAAACGAGAGAGACATGCATATATGCCAACTTAAGTATCAGATAAATATGTTTAAAAAAAGTTAAAATGTAAAATGTATAAAGCTAAAAACAATTGAGATCTATAAAATCAATTGCTTAAAAATAACTTAAAATATAAAATCAAGAGAATCCAAGTTATAATAAAAAAAAGTTAATTAATAGGTTAAAATCTATAGAATCTATTGCACAAAATCAAGTTAAAATATATCAAATAAATAATGGTAAAATAATCTAAAATTTAAAATCAATAGAAACCAAGTTATACTATAAAAAGTTAAATTTAATCTTAAAACTAAGCTAAAATATAAAATGAAGTTAAAATATACAAATCAATTGCTTAAAATTAAGTTAAAATATATCAAATAAGTAATGGTAAAAAGTTAAAATCTATAAAATCAATTTTTTAAAAACAAATTAAAATATTCAGTTAATATAATCTGAATAAAAAATAAAAGATTAATAAATACGTTAACAATTGAGAACAAGTTAAAATATACAATCAATAAAATCTTATTTAAATAATAATAAATTAATAAATGAGTTAATGAATAAAAACAATTTAAAATATACTGTTAAAAAAATTAAATAAAATTAAAAACACATACCCACGTCCACTGAATAAATAATAAATAAAATTTAATAAATAAATCGATTGATAAAGCTGATATGTATATATATATATAATTTTTTTCCTTGAATAAGAGAGCAGAGAGAGAATATAGAAAATCAATTAAAGAATAGATAAGGTTAACAAAATAGGTTGGGCTCTTTCGGTGACAGCTGTTGGTATTGATAAGACGCCACTGACCTTGCTGGATGGAGGCGGCCGCTGTGAGGTGGAGGGGGCCGACAAGTCCTGTTCTGCACAGTGATAAGGACCCCGGTCCCACAGGCACGTTGAGTTCTTTTACCTCCTGGTCCTGGCGAAGTTCTTTGCTTGATTTTTTCGAAATTCAAGCAGCAGGTCTCCAGCGTACGTCCTCGGTCACATGTCAATTTTTGGCTCGATTGGGCGAATAAAACCCTATTAAAAGGGAAACTGCCGTGGAGCCGATGTATCTTTGTCACCGGCTAAAGCCGAACTCAAATTATATATAATTAAATGAAATATATAAATTAAATAATTATGAAATATATAATTATAAGACTTATAGAATCATTGAAGGAAGCCAGTCGACTGCTCTACATATCAGGGCTGATAAATAATTTCCTGTTTAGTGTACCTAAGAAACTCTACTCAAGAATCACAGAAGCTAGAATAAGAAATATTGTCGATTGTCAGAGCGATATGGATTGGGAAACCCAAGGAAAACCAAACCCAGACCACAGCTGACTTGCCAATTGCTTCGAACAAATCTTTCTTGCTGATAAAATGGTCTCCACCATAATCAACCTGCATCGTCCTCTTAATATCATACAAACTGCTCCAGCATTTGACCCCTTTTTAGCTGCATCTTGAAATATTCTCTTCATCTATCTACTATGTATTCGTTTAGCCATATAATTGATACTGATCCTCGTTCTCTTTTCTGAGATTTTACCAGTTCCTTTCTCGTTCGGTTACTGTATTTTTCCAATTTTTGGGTTTAATTTCGCGTTTTCCCTCATTTTGAGACCATATTAACAATCAGTTCCGGTTACCCTATACTTATAGCTTTGCCCTTTCCATCTTTGTGCAGAAAGAATAATGCATTCAATACTAAAATTTCCTAGTTTTTATGATATGGTCCAACTTTCAAACAAAATAAAGGAAATAAAAATTATTTTTTTTAATTTGTGATATATGAGTTTTACTAAACAACCAAGCAACTATTCATTATATATAATTCAGATTAGGTACATATTATTTTAGTTTATAAAACAGGTATTAATATGACTCATTTCCGAAGAAGTATATACAATTTAAGCTACCTCTAAGAATCAGTAAATATACAAAACAAAGTGTTAAATTGTAAAAGTTAAATAAAAAAATCAAGATATTCAGCAATGTATTTTTGAATTAAGTTTTATTATTATAATTATATCATTATTACAATAGAGGCCTTCTTAAACGACCTCCATATAGAATAAAGGAAATTATATTTAAAAAATAAAATAAAAAACTTAAAAAAAAAATGTTTTTTGACAATAAATTTATTACATTAATGTTTGTTCATAAATACAATAAATGTAATGTACCAAAAACATTATTATACAACTATAACTAAGCCATTTATGAGTACTGAATGGTGTGGTAGAGGCCTGTAGGCACCCACGCCAGTACCGCTTTTCTGTCGCTTAAGTGCATTTTCTACGGAACTGCTTCAAATATTTTAAAAAGTAATCAGTGATTTAGAAAAATAAATATATTCCCCAGATGTGTTATTTCAGCACGTTTTGCATTATTGTTGGCCGTTCAATTACGACGCTTGATTTTCAACTTGAAATTTTTTTTTCTCGAAAAAATTGACTTTACTGTTGTTTTTTATTGCCTAAACCAATTATGTTTTATTATTTTTTCAAGTTTTCCTATTATCTAACTATCCAGCTTTAATAAAAGACCAATTATAATGAAATTAAGCCAAATTCTGATTCTCGGTGACCAAAAAACTAACTAAAGTCAAAGTCGTCAGTCCGCCATGTTTGGACGCCATTTTGGAGAAGTTGGTTCACTTTTTTTTGTGGGAACATTGACTTTTTTTTAATAAATTGTTACAAGGAACACAACGATATGCAATAGGGATGTGGGGGGAGGGGGTTCACGGTAGGGGGGTGTAATAGTTGGCGAAAGGAATGGGCCTGGGCCGAGAAATATGAAAGGAGGCCAAAGAAAATCTTTAGCTAAAGTAAATTCACTGCTTTTTACGGGAAAATTCTAAATTAAAAAAAATATAATAATTTTTATGTAAATATTAAGTATGCATTAAGCAGCATGTGAATAAATATACAAAGGGCACCTTTCGTTTTATGTACCCAGCACTGTATTATAATAGATTGTCCCAAAAGTTCTTTCATTTTTCTTTATTAGTAGTTTAAGGTTGAATTACTGTATTAGATATGAACCGTTCTGCTCTATTATCTTCTTCTATCTCTCTGGAGCCTTTTTCCAAAATTATTTAGACTTACTTAGAAAATATTCATCGATATGCGCTTTTATTTCGCTTTCGAATTTTTTATATTTATCACGGAGAGAATTTTTTTCAATTAAGTCTCAACAATTTCGGAAAAAGGTAATAGAGCAGAACGATTCATAAATAACTCAGTAAATCAACCTTAAACTACTAATATAGAAAAAAGGAAGAACTTATGAGACAACCTAATATTTTGTACATCTCTCAACCCTATTTTCAAACTATCTTCAGTATTTCAAGAGGTCCGGATAGTATTTTTTTCTTTTTCATAGCTCCCTTAAATCTACTGAATTTCGTTCTTCCAAACAGTATTCACCCTTCTTACAATCTGCAACATTCTACATTATCATCACCTCTCTCTAAGAATTAAACATGGCCGATTGACTTTCAAGTTCAACAATATTTTTATCATCACCTCCTCAGAAAATTATTCAATTATGATTACTTTTGTATACTACAATTTTGTTTAAAGGTTAATTTTCATTTCAGACGTACCATCCGGACAGAGTCGTTATATTTAATGTATCAGTTCTGCAAGAGAACTCAACTTACGTATGTGTGAGTTATACAGTTAACGCAGCAGGATCTTCTTTACCTTCTTGGCCAATAATTTTTACAACAGTTCAAGGTAAAACCTGCACAAGATTTACTATTATTCAAATAATAAATAAGTGTTATTAAAAGTCAGTCAAGATGCTCTAATAAATACTAAAGTCATCATGGAAAAATACCATTGCAACAATAATGTAAAAGTTACATATAATGCATATTTTAATTAAAATAACAGCTACAAATTCGAATTAATATGGGTAATCATTGGCGAATGATCATCGATGATCATTGATGGATGACGAATCATTGGCGAAGGAATGCGGGAACGGGGATCGAAGAGTGGCACTGGGATCTCCTGGAGTCTCCAGTGCTTTGCCGTTCCTGGGCGCATACAAATTTTGTACATAGAAATAGATGTGTTAAGAAGATTTATTTTATTTTTACTTATTGATTTATTTCTTATTTTACTTATGTATGTTATTCTATTTTTTTTAAATATTTTTTTCTTATTATTATTATTTTTAATTTATTTATCTTTTCAAGTATTATTATTTATTTCACAGTTATATGTATATATGGTATGAATGAACATATTTAGCCTTAGTGCTTATAGCTCTTCAATGTGCCAGATTGTATTCATAATAACTCCAATGAAAGACCAAAGGTGGGCAATAAACCAGCGTACAACTAGCTCAAAAAAACATTGTTCTCTCTTTTAAAAATATTGACAAAAAAAAGTCTATAAATCTCAAATTACGGTAGTTTGGATTTTTGGATAAAAAAAGTGTTCTGATTGCGGTTGGAAGACCTGGACACTAGTCAGCACCCTAAACAAATCGAAAGATTTGAAAGGAAAGTTCCTTTTTATTTTATTTATATAAATATTTTATTCTGAGATAGTTAAAAGTAAATACAATATTAGGTTCAATAACATTTTGTAAATGTTTTTTTAAAAAGCTAAATGGCCAATAAACACATCTCGCTCTGGGACAAAATTCATCATAGAGTTGCCAACTTGGAATTAAATAAGAATCACTTTAATGTTAAAATTTGATAAGAGAGGAAGTTAACAATTTGTAACAAAATTCCTTGTTAACAATGTCATTTCTTAATTTAAGTTAAATTTTTTTTTATTGTATAAAATGAATTTGAAGAGTAATGAAATATCCCTAGCTGAGCGATAAATCATTACTCAATTTCGCGACGAAGGAAATTCTTGGCTTGTAATTCTCTCCTTTTTCCCTGAAAGTAATGACAATTTAATTAAATAGTTTGTCAAATAAACCAAGTATCAGGTCGGAATTTTTTTCAAACTAATTAGGAGTAATCCAACAACATCTTGTTTCTACAAAGGGAATTAATGTACACCCGGAAAGATTAAGATGAATACCAGGACATGTTTTTTTTCAACGGGTTGGCAAGGAGAAATATACTAATCTCATCTATTTACACAAGGCTTTTGACTATAAGGTAAAAGTATTTTGTAATGTTCATAGATTATTGGGTGAAAAAAATGAAAGTTTAAAAAATTCAAGGCCGTTGAAGGTAGAGGTGTGGATTTATTATTTTGAGATAAAACAGAAGACAAACTTTGGACGTTGTAAAAACGTTCGTTGGAAAGTTAGGTTAAGGAAGTAACTGCATTTTTCCCTCGGCCTAAAAAAAAAAAAAAAAAAAAAAAAAAAAAAAAAAAAAAAAAAAAAAAAAAAAAAAAAAACACCTCTGTGTTCTAAAAGAAATGCTGCTTCACTAGGTGTCCTGGCACAATGCCACCTAATATAAACCATATTGAGCGTTTGTGGATTGGTACTAAGCAGTACATTTCAAAATATAAAATTCAGAATAAAAATGATTTGAAAAATGCTATAGTGAAAGAAAGGAACTAAATACCTCCAGATAACTACACAAAATCTCGTCTATTCTCTGCTTCCAATAATTTCTGTTGTAATTTTAGTCATGCAAATTTTTGTGAGTGCTTTTCCTTGTGTACCTAGAATTTTTTTAATATTTATATTTTGGTTTTCTAATAGTGATAATTTATTATTACTAAACTTCAAATGCGTTTTATAGAAATATGTAGATATTAATAAATATAGTTTAAATACGATTTTATACACAATTTTAACATTTTTTCTAGTTTTTCTTTTGTCCCTTAATTAAGTTAATTGTCAGGTGTATCTAGACTTTTGTTTCTAACTGTACATCCTACCTTAAAAAGGTGTTTAAAATAATATTGAAAAAGGAGGATATTTCAATAATATAATCTAGGAGAAGTTATGTCGATCATGTGCTGAGGATTAGGGAATATATAAGATTAAGTGATAAGCAATTTATAATTCTGAGTAAAATTATCTAGTGCAAATATCAATAGATCAATTTCACCCAGTAATCTATGAACATTACAAAATACTTTTACCTTATAGTCAAAAGCCTTGTGTAAATAGATGAGATTAGTATATTTCTCCTTGCCAACCCGTTGAAAAAAAACATGTCCTGGTATTCATCTTAATCTTTCCGGGTGTACATTAATTCCCTTTGTAGAAACAAGATGTTGTTGGATTACTCCTAATTAGTTTGAAAAAAATTCCGACCTGATACTTGGTTTATTTGACAAACTATTTAATTAAATTGTCATTACTTTCAGGGAAAAAGGAGAGAATTACAAGCCAAGAATTTCCTTCGTCGCGAAATTGAGTAATGATTTATCGCTCAGCTAGGGATATTTCATTACTCTTCAAATTCATTTTATACAATAAAAAAAAATTTAACTTAAATTAAGAAATGACATTGTTAACAAGGAATTTTGTTACAAATTGTTAACTTCCTCTCTTATCAAATTTTAACATTAAAGTGATTCTTATTTAATTCCAAGTTGGCAACTCTATGATGAATTTTGTCCCAGAGCGAGATGTGTTTATTGGCCATTTAGCTTTTTAAAAAAACATATCAATCTATTCAGATTCACTAAAGAAAAATAAATCTATATTTGTAAAAAAATCTTTAATAATATTTTATAATTTTCAGAATCCTTAGAAGAGAATATTGGAAATGGAGGCATTGAATGCAGATTTTCTATTATTTTATTAATCATAGGTTTACTTGTATTACTTATTGGATTTTTCATTTACTTCACAAAAAGACAAGTTTTGAAACTACCATGGTAAACTATTTCATTCAGTATATTCTTTCTAATATTAGTGAAATATATTTTTTTAAACCTTCTCCTTATTCTTCGTTCTTCTCTCTAGATGGCTATGTTGGGAAGTAAAAATATAAAATTAGTGGTCTTTCTTAGGTCCTCCAGACTTCCGAACAGCTTTGTACAAGGTCTGTGGGTTGGGGCCGTATCTGCCTTCATATGTCTTCCATCAGCTGGCAGCTTTGCAAAATGTGCTCTGTGGTTTATTCATTTTGACCTATCATACAGCCTATTCATATAGGGGACTGGGTCTTATCTTGAAATTCCTGAAGATATATGATTTCAGACGGTTATGTCCAGTTCTGGGGCGAAAAATGACGATCTGTTCTTTTCTGAACAGCTTGAAATAATCGTCATGGGGATAGTGATTTGGGTTACTTGCTTTCCAGCTTTGACTTGCCTGGTGTGCTACCCGTACTGGCATGGAGCCGACAGTAGGGGTCAGCTTCTTCCTGACCATGATGATAATCAACTGCGAGGGAACAAACCCTACAAATGACGCAGGTGTTGGCCGAAAGGTGCACATAGTCCCCTGATATCTTTTATGGTGGTCTAGAACTTTTATGAAAACTGGACATCACGCATTACTTCCCAAAACCCCTACAAACAGACAAACGTAACCTTATGTAATTAATTCTTTATCAATTACTTAAGATACGAAATACAAACGTATATTCTGTTGATATATTCATGAGGGTTAAAGATGGCATCAGAGGAATCAGCCGAATCGAAGGAAAGATAAATTTGAACGTTGTCGACATACAGGTGGTATTGACAGTGCAGGATAGAGTAAGGGAGGTCATTGATATAGAAGGAAAAGAGGATGAGAGATGAGGATAAACCTTGTGGAACGGTTTGGGCAAGGGTTGAGACTCTAATGGAGGATTATTAGGGACTATAAGATGCTGGGAGAGACCGGTAAGGAAGGATTAGAACCACTTAAGGGCACTAGATGACTGGAAGATATTTTCAAGTTTGGTTAGGAGGATATTATGGTCTACTGTGTCAAATGCTTTGGAAAATTCAAGGAGAATAAGGATGGTGAGTTTACAAAGCATTTTAGTTCAAGTCACAGACTGTGCGATATTTGAATCCTTCGTATTAGTTAGAACTGCAGTACATAAATATCCGACTTGAAAAGCATTTAAATTGACCTGTAGTCTTTATTGGTTTTAACCTTTTCCATGTGTTGGAACTCTGATCCCAGATCGCTACGGTTATCGTGCGGGGGATTTTTCTCTCAAATCTTCAACACTTTTTTGTAGGGTGCTGGATAGTGATAGGTCTCACAGCCATATATTAGAACTGGCTTTATCATATCATTTTACACCCTTAATTTGAGATTTCTTAATATTTTTCGGGATTTCAATATCTTTAAGAGGGAGAAGAAAGCTCTTTTTTGCGCTAGTTATACGCTGATCTATTTTTGTTTTGTCTTCATTTACTTGTAGGTCGATCTGATCTGCCTCTCTTATAGGAGTTGTAGCGAGTTTCTTAATGTCCTCTTGATTATTTCCAAAGACAGCTATATCACCTGCGTATCCAAAGATTTTATGATTTGGTAATCCATTTTCCTGTGATCTTGCTCTTATTACCTTCTCCAGAGCTAAGTTGAACAACATTGGTGATAGATCATCTCCCTGCCGTTTATTATTGATATAAGATTAATGATTGAAAAACATTTTTGAATATATTATTATATTATTGATTATGATCTATTATTTTTGTATGGTTTAATATGTCATTATTGTAAAAAATACTTAATACTTAGATGATACTTTCAGCATTTTAGAAAAGAAAAAGATATATATTTTTTTACATAATGAAGTATGGTATATTTTTGTAGGAGAAGAAGTTATGATGTAACACAGACAAGAATTTGAATGGCGGCTGCCAGGAAGTTTTTGTTTCAAAATATTTATTCGATGTCATCCGGCTTCTGCGTTGTAATATCAAATGTTCATTAGTATGGTAAGGATAGGGAAGGAAGTGTGAATTTTAGTTAAATCACTAAGTATATACAATGTAATTCTGAAAATGGATGAATAATTGTACGAAAAGATTAAATATACGAGAAAAAAATGTATATGTAAAATAAATTACTCTAAATTCTTTATTATTGATTTCTGACAGCACCCTATTTCGAACTGTTACTCTTGGAAAGTTTGTAAAGCTAGAAAAACGAAAGGAATAAATTATCAATAGTCTTATTAAACCAGATAAGTTCTATCATGAGCAAATGTCGCACAGGCTGCCCCTGGCAATCCTTCTATATTGGAAAATGGCATTAAACGTGTTTTTATACACCGGTGTAATTAGAAAAAGAAGTCTCAACCAAAAAATAATACTAACAATATAAGCACACTTGACGGAAAAAAAAATGAGAATTGAGAGTCAGTTAGAATAGTAAAAAGTACTAGTTTGATTAGCAACTTAGCAATTAGTACTAGGATTAGCAACAAATACAGTTTACACTTTTAAGTTAAGATTCCTCCCCCCTATAAACCTTTTTAAAATGTTTGAGCTGAATTCATTCTCCACATTAATCAGTAACACAATATTTTTTATTTTAATAGGATAATAAGTGCCTAAAATAAGTGACCTTTGCATTTGTTTAATGGAAGAAAAAGTAATAGTAATATCTCACCAAGTAGACATAGACTCCCCACTTCAATTAGTAGCTGTTGCAGTTCACTTAAACATCACTTTTATAGTTTGCAACATTTTCTTACCTCAATATAATACCATAGAAGCAGAACACTGTATCCATATCCATAGACATTTGATAAATCCGGTTTTGTACACTGGATATTTCAATGACCATAATTCATTAGGGGATTCACAAGTCCTCCAGAGGTCGAATCATAATTTCTTTTTTAGATTTAGCTGGTACTTTTTTACTTAATCACAGCGAAGTAAGATAACTAAGTTCAAGGTTTCGAACATGTTCATCCACATATCTCTCTATTTGCAGCAACTCACTGATACTATAGATTGGACAGTAATATAAGAACCTTATAGCAGTGACCATTTTCCGATCCGTCTTAAATTCAGAAGTACAAACTGCAATAATTACAGCGTTTCTCGTTGGATATTAAAAAAACTAGGTTGGTCTCTATTCACTTCTTTAGCTGACCCGCCTCAAAATCCCTCATCTAGTATGACTACTTGATGATGTCTGTAAATCTATAACTCAAGCTAACAACTATACTAACAACAGCGGAAGTCTCAATTCCAGAAACCAAGGGATATTTCAAAAGGCCACCTGTTCCTTAGTTTAATAACGATTGTAAAAACTCTATACGACTCCGGAGAAAAGCACTTAAAAATTAAAAGGAATCTGGTAAACCATATAGAATTAGAAAAAAAAAAAAAGGCAATATGTAGAATGATAATAAATTATCCAAAAAAAGAATCCTGGATATCATTCATTAATCCATCAATTCTTCTACTCCTTGCATGGTAATTTAGGACAGAATCAAGAAAATAAGACGAACAAGTTCTACAGGCTGATATACCCTGATTTACGAAGAGAGATTGTGTGATAATCCAGATACAATAAGCAGATAATTCGCCAAATATTCCTCTCAAGTATATACTGAAGGCTTAGAACATAGCTTAGCTCAGCAATTGGACTTCTCCACCACTGAGCCATTTCAAGACTACAACACTCCATTTACTATTTGGGAAAAGAAATCAATACTGCAGGACGTCAAGGGATCGTCACCTGGGCCAGTCAACATATATTTGCCATGTTACAACACCTTCCAGAAACCACATAGAGAAAACCATTATTGGGCTTTTACATCCACATCTGGATCAACCCTAACTTTCCTACCAAATGGAATCAATGTACAGTGGTACTGATTTTAAAGTCGGATCAAGAGAAGCGCCATCCATCAAGCTATCGACCACGTTTTCTAGAAAACGTATTACGTGGATCCTAGAAAAATACCAGCTCATTCAAAACTTCCAATGTGGATTTCGACAATAGACCACCTAGTCCAAATGGAGGCTAAAATATCGTATACCTATATTCAGGAAGAGGAAGCAGTTGCAGTTTTCTTCGATATGCACAAAGCCTTTTATAAACCAATAAATATTTAATTCTAAGAAATCTTCATTCACTAGGATTCACAGGTAGTCTTCCCTAATTCATTAAAGAATTTCTTTCTCATCGCCCTTTTCGCTTCCGAATTGGAACATCGTTGTCCATGCAATGTAAACAGATGAGGAGGGTGAAACAAGGAAATGCCCTAAGTAGAACCCTATTCGCCTTCGCCATCAATGACCTTAGATTAAATCTACCACTTGGAGTTTAAGTTATGGTGTTTGTCGACGATTTTGCAATACTATACAGAGGAAAAGATATTCCTTCTATTAAAAAGAAACTCCAAGATGCACTATGTCGAATTGACAGTTGGTCTAAATCATCAGGATTGCAATTCTCCACCGATAAAACAAAATGTGTTCACTTTAGCAGAAAATAAAAAACACTACAACCGCCAGACCTTTATCTAGGAGAGTAAATTACCATACGCTGATAACTGTAGATTCTTGGGATTGCTATTATATAGGCGTCTGTCTTGGGAACATTGCATTAAGTCACTGAAAGAAAAATGATCAAGAAAACTTAAGGTGTTAACGGTACTAAGTGGAACAAAGTGGAGAGCAGACAGGATCACAATGCTAAAAGGGTATCAAGCATTAATATGTTCTAATTTAGATTATGGCAGTTTGGTTACAAATCCGCTCGTAAAATACGCCTCGCTACTGGAATCTTTAGGACTAGTCCATTCCCTAGTCTCTGTGTCGATTCAGGTCTACCATCATTCTCTTTCATAAGACAAAAATTAGCAATAAATTACATAACAAAGTTGTATCCACAAACCACAGACTCTGCCTACTAATACATTTTTGAATAATTTTCTACAAAAGAATAATGCGACACTGCAATTAGAAGAAAGGATGACGTTTGCAATATGTAAGCTGAAAACGATCAACTTAAATATAATTCAAAATGAGATACCTCCTTGGACTTTTATATTACCTAAATTAAATCTACTGCTCTCCAAATTTAATAAAGAAAATACGGATCATACAAAATATAAATAACTATTCTATAAAACGATTAGCTCTTTACCAGAACACTTACAAATATTCACCGACGGTTCTAAATCTGACACATCAGCAGTATCCGCCTTCGTCACACCTGATGCTACCTATAAATGTAAACTATATTCCATATATACCTCTGGCATTAATACTATCGCGATGGCTCTACGACATGTGATAAATTAGTCATTTGTAAATGTGGTTGTATTTTCAGATTCTTTGAGCGCCCTTAAAGCCATGAATAACATATATCCAGACCACCTTGGAATATATAGTATTTTGGGGTTCATAAAACAGCTAAATAACACTAGAACATTAGTACATTTTTATGGTCTCCCTCCTGGTCATATAGGCATTGTTCGGAATGAAATGGCTTATTGAGCAGCTCTTATTCTTCCAAGACGTGGTAAATGTTTCTTAACTGCGTCTGAACTGACACCATATTGTATTGGAGACAATGACAATGACGAAAAAATTTGTGATGCAAAGCAGTGAAGAATGTCAGTCTTGGAGCTTCAGCATCTATTTCCAGTGTTAGCTGTTGCTGAAGACGGTTTCCCATTTTTTTATTTTATGCGCCTTAAGTTAATATCATTAAGCCATGTACATTTAGACCTGCTTGAGATTCTGATATTGCCGCTTATTGTTAGTAAGGAAAACAATGTCTGGCTTACCTTTTTTCAACTCAAGCTAAGACCATTTCTGTGATATACTAATATCTACTCACAAACAATTTATATTATTCCATTTTTTTCTCCTTCACTTCCAAACATTAAGAATATGTTCCTTGTCGAATTTCTTAAATATCGTTACATTATATTCAACCAAGTCTATTAGTTGTAGTAATACAACTGATTAATTTACTTTAAAAAAACGTTCCATTATTCACACTGTGAACTGTAATATGTTTCAATGTTACTTGTTTATTGGAGAGTTTGCTCCATAATACATTTATTAGAAAAAAAATTCAGTTTTTGATGAAAATAATCTTGAACCCCGGCATGCACCTTAGACATATCATACCGCATAACAAACCATCTTATTGAAGAAGATGGATTTAGTCCGGGAGCTAGCAATTAGTTTCTTACCTCATAAGCAGCAGAAGTTTTGACTATAGGAAGTGAAAGATCTCATCATTTAGTTCGAAGAAAACATTTGTATGGCCATTTCCCATGGTGACTTAGGCGTGTAATTTTAAGAAGTGTTTGCATGAAAATCTTATACTGATATTGAAGATTCGGCAAAGACATTGCCAGCCAAAAAAGTTTGATGATTTAAACCTCAGAAAATAATTTTGGTCGAAATTATCTCATTAGCGGCACGTTTGGAAAATATTTTTTATCAATATTGCTTTAGATTTATCTTAATTTAGAATTCCCGAAAGAGCCTCACATATAATCTGGCAAAGTATCTTGGTGGGTTCTATCACGGAAAAAAAAAATTTTAAATGGGAAAATGTGAAAAAATACGTCATAATCAAAGTGAGATATTTTTCATTCAAAATATAATAAAATATCAAAATTTTTGGTATTCTTCAATTTTCATATTCAAGCGGGGTTTTTGCTAAAATTTGAAATCTGTAACAGGTAGCGTGAACGCATTAGTTATGGAGAGGTTGGACTTATTATGTAAATAATAAGCTTCCTTGTTGATTTAAAGGTTCCAGTTTTTTCTGGATTGGAGAATAATATCCTCTATTGACAACTGTATGAATAAAGTTTCAGAAGAAAATTTTAAAATGTCTATCATTGTTGTTTCCATAGTGCTCTTGAGATCAGTGTGTTTCATACATTCCTGCCAACAGTTTTGCTAAGAGTAAGTTGAACATTTATGTTATGTTATCTGTATCGTTCTCTTAATAGTTAAATAATGATTTTAGATTTTTCTGAGGTATGTCCATTACTGGTACCGACCGCCTGTCCATTACTAGAACAATTGAATTTCAGAGTGTCCAACATTAGTGCAAAAAGGTGTTGTTTTTTTTTTAAATGGAGATTATACCTGCATAACCGTATATATTTTTTAATTTTAAAGTGTTAAATAGAAAAAGAATGCCCTAGAGATTCGAAGTGTCCAACGGAGAAGTTTATAACTATAATAATTACGGTGGCATAAGACGAAAAATTCCTTTGCTATGTCCATCACCGGTACGCTAACCCTAAATATCCGAACTGTCTTTCTTCAATAATCTCTTTCAGTTGAAGATTTTCATTTAAATTTTATGTGAGACTCCTCTGGTAAGTCTAAATATTGATAAATCTAAAGTGAAATTGATATAAACCATTTCGCAAGCGTGCCGCTTATGAGGTAATATCGACAACAATTTTTACAAACTGTTGTCGGGAAGGGTCAAGTCACTCATTCGTTTTGTCTGGCAAGGTATTTCGTGAATCTTCTCTATTAGTACATTTTTTGTACCTCCATGACGTTTTGTATCCATTTTTTTAATTTTCGAAAAATCGAACGTGCCTAAGTCACACAGAAATAGCCAGACCATTTTTTTCTTCGAACGAAATGATAAGATTTTCCATATCCCAAAGTCAATCCTTCATCTGCTGATGAGGTGAGAAAAACATTGCTAGCTCCCGGACTAATTATTAAATATGCAGACGATAAGAAAATACTTTTTCATTTGTACTGAAGGTTTCAATTGGTATATAATGAAATATGTTTACATTCATAAGCGGTAAGGAATAACTATTACTGAATACATATGAAACTCACAATTCATAAAATAAATCTATTTATTATATTTAGTCATACACCAAATCGCATTATAATTTTTGTGTTTTGAACACTCCAATTTGTTGTCGGTTATTTTAAATTATTACGTAAAAGCAATAAAAAAAGCAGAAATAACCTTTCAAATGACAGATTTTCTTTATTATTGACACTGTAATAGCATGACAGTGATCGATTAACATTTAAAATACCACCCATTACCTGAGTAACAATGAAATCTAATTTTCTAAATCAATATTTAATATTTTATTTTTTTACAATATCGAAAACACAGGTTCAATAAACAAATAGTTCGTAAAAGGATTGTATTGTAGTTATATTAGGCTAGTCAAACAGACAGGACTTAATATATGGATTATTGTGCTTGACAATAGCACATTTCATTTCCTACATTAAAATTTTATTTTTGCATTTAATGCTCACATCAACTCGTTCTTAAATGAAATTATAAACAATAAACAACCAATAACAACAAAATCTTGTTAATACCCGTACCCATCTTAAGAATATATTTATAAATATTTCTGTACAAAATGAAACTTGAGAGTTTTACATAGGTAAAAAAGTTAAAATCTACGTACCTTTTTATCCTATTTTCGAAATAGAAATTGTTTCTAATATTTTACAAATATACCCCCTCAAATCTCTAAACGAGCTTTGTTTCGTTATAATTTATGTACATATTTTCTTATTTTAATTGATATATACTACAGTTTGTACCTCACTTTGAAAGTATAAAAAGTATAAACTTTATTTATAATAATTCATAATAATGATAAAAGATTTCAATGTGTATAAATATCTCAGGAGATACATATGTACATAAAAATTCTTGTTGTTTAAAATGTCAATGTTATGATTCATTTATATCACTTTGTGTTAATTGTTCATTAATGGATAAGTCCTGGACTGGATTGTCAATAATTCCTTGGTTGTCATCTTTGACGGAATAATCTGCTTGGAGTGCGTCACTGGGTTCTATGTCTTGCTCGCTGTACATGTGTCTTCCAGGATCTACCTTCAAACCAATATCACACGACGAAATTCTCTCCTGTATTAACCTGAAATTCATAGATACAATCGATAATTGATAGTAAACTTTTTTTAAGTATTTTATCTTCGGTACTCAGGGCAGAAAGGAAATAATATAAAAATAAAATATAAAAGTTGGAGTATTAAGAGCATATTCAACTGAAAACTTCATTTTCTCCCTGATTCTTCAGTTCCAATCACATACCATCAAAGCGAGGAATTATTCTTGAGAAATACGCCAATGAGTAATTATGATACAGTTAGTAGATTCTGCACGTTAATTGAATTGAAAGAGGATACGGGCTCAACACGAATTATTCAATCAATTGGTATTTGAAAATTTTCTTTATTAATTATAAAGAATAATAGTTTAGTTAGTTGATAAATATTAAATTAATTTAATTTTAGACGATCAAGTTGCTATTTATGAACAAAAGGATATTTTAAATAAAATGGGACTCAAACTATTTTAAGTATCAAGAAAATGAAAATTAAGTGTAAATCTAGTACAATTCAATTTCACAAGTTTTAGGATAGAAGTTTTAAATCATCAATTTTAGTATTAAGTCGTGCAACTTGGACTTATCATTTACCTCTCTATTATTTAACAAAGGTTTTAGTGACTGTGAAAAATGTATTTATTTTACATATAAAAAGCGGGACGGGCCATAATGAAGACACCACACTTCTCAATTACAGAATTATTTCTCCCTTATCGAGGTTACAAATAGGCAATCAGAATAATTATAATTACTAGTACGCCCGTGCGAAAAATTCGCACAGCATATTGTTATCAAATGCCAAATTAATAATAAAATAAAATAATGCAAGGTATCAAAAGATAAAGAATTCAAATGTTACTTTATCGATTAATATGGTCGACAAAGAAAACAAAAATTAATTATATTAAATTAAGTCTTCATTTTTGTTTGGAACCAACATGTTCACAAATTTCAGTAAGCTGTATCTTTGTTAAAAATAGTCCAATTTCGATGATTTTTTTTTCCTTTTGTAGGGGATTTAGTAATATTTTATATAATCATGGGCATAACATAAAAGGGAAAAGTATGTAATTTTTTTACTTATTCGCAAATAAAGTTTGTTTTCTTTCATAACTTGTTTGCCTGAATTTTCGGAGTGATTGCACTATTTTGCCCGGCTGAAGGAGAAGGAAACTTTCGAAATTGGTGGCCCAATCTTGAGATTTGGTGAAGAATTAACGGTGATATGGCTTGCCGATCAAAAACCTCAAGTCGACGAAATGAGACATGTATTCAATGACAGTACCACAATTACTGTAAGGCTGTGTGGATGCGAACCCTATGCCTTGCGTTATCTCGAAAATAGTACGTTTTGGGGCTTAAAACGCAGGATTGAAGCCTAGCAAAATGTTTGTATCGACTTTATTTATTTTAGAAAGAAAAACAAAGGTGCAGAATACGATTCGCTAACCCTCCGTGAAATTCTGAATCCAACGGTACCCCATTCATGGTATTTGAGCATGACAGGAGCTTATATTTGGTACAAAACCGATTTCGAGCCTTACTGTAATAATATATGTGGGGATATAATAATATAAATTGGCAATAAGGCACGATTTATGATATAGTTATTAAAGAAATTAAAAATTTGTGCGAACTGTAGTTTCTTTTCGTTTATTTTATGTCGATAAAAAATAATACATTCGGGACTACAGAATACATGTAAATCACAGTCAAACAATTTGAGCATCAAATAGTACAATGAAATGAACATGAATATAATTTGTAAAATGGGACTTGGTCGGACAGTGGGCAACCCCCAAGTATCTAAAAATTATAAATTTTAAATAGCAATGGATTTAAATTTTCAAAAGCACAATTGAAATTATATATTTAAAAAATCTCAATAAAATAAATAAACCTTCCAATCTATTTTAGTAATTTTGTATGTATTTTTCATAACAAAATTGTAACATAAACACTGAGATATTTATAAATTCCTTCGCTTCATACATCCCCTTTTAATCTTTACGGGTAACTTCATATTATATATCTGATTCTATATATTAATCAAGTTAATAAAAAAGCTGTGTTGTTATTGCTGCTTCTTATCACTGTTTACTTACTAAGCATGGTTGACATTACGACTCCAATGCGAAAAGAAATACTGCAGATTGCTGCTTTATATATTTCATATTTAGATTGTGATATGAATGTATAAAACCGAGACCTGGACCCTAACCAGCACCTTGGACAGCATGGAAAAATCCTCCACAAGATAACCGGAGCTATCTGGGATCAGAGTACTAAAGGAGAAAAAACAATAAACAGCTTTTTACAGAAACTAGTCAATCACGTGATATGAAGGTAAGGAGGTTAAGATGGGTGGGGCATATAACTCGGAACAATACATCTGGAAGCATCTACACAACAATAAATGTCTCAATTGAAGGTGAAAAACCACGTGAAAGGTCAAAAACCAGAATGATAGATAGAACCAACAAAGATGCAATAGAGCTGCATGCAGATAACAGGAAAGAAATAGCCCAAAATAGGCAGAGATGGGGAAGGCAGATTAAGGCGGCAAAAGATCTGCCAGGTCTTTTTATAACTTTTAATGTCAACAGAAATAAATAAATATATAAACATGGATCTGTAATTTTTTGTCTGCAACCTATCGAATACACGATGTTTCATTGAAAAAAATTAACCACTCGATCGAAAGGTTTTGATTATTACCTCTTTTTCTTCGGCGATGGGGGCTCTTCGTCAATGTCGGGTTGCGACGTGGGTACAGGAGGCATAGAATGACTGAGCAGATTTTTATACGGAGACCCTTCAGTCCTTGTTGCCTGAAACAAAACAATATTATACCAAGCAATTGAATGTCAATTTTTTATATATCATAAGACGAAAATTAGTTTTATTAAAAACGGCTCTCCCACAATTCCTTCAATGTCATTTTTAAAACTGAATATATATTTTTTTCCAAACTGAAAATAACGATATTAGACAATCCACTAGTTTATCAAATCAAACTATCCAGGCCATAAAGTCCAGTTTTCAGATACTTTGAATCCTCCGAGCAGAATACATCCTTCAATCTTCTAAAATATTTGTACTGACCAATCCAACCTTTGAAGCCACTGTTGTTGATTATTTAGTTTAAAATCCTTATATACTTCAGCTAGAACATGAAAGACTGTTAATAATCAGGTTACCAACTTATTCTAACCGAGTAGAATAAGTATTCTAGTAGGAAGACCGAGATTTATTTCATAGGACTCCCCTCGACATTGGCTAATGTATGTTCAGCAATTCTTGGTGATCGCTTCTACTTTTTGGAGGTGATTTTATGAAGAAAAAAAATCTTGAATGCTTTGCCTTCTGTTGCAAAGAAAACTATTTATTTGAATAAGTATTATGCATCTCACGTAGAACAGATAATATTTATAAAGATTTATCTATTCATTGATTCATTTAAGTCTTCTCCTACTCTCTCAGGGAATAGAAAGTTCCAATAAATAACAGGGAGGAATACTCTGAAGATGAAATGGGGAAGATTGAGTAATCTTTGATTGGAGGTTTAAACTGGTAAGTAATAAATTGGCAAATAATGGCAACTAACGAATGATAACATACAGGCTGCAATGGGTAACACAGGACAATCATTTATTGATACAGATTAACTTCACCATGAATTTATTATTAGAAGTTGGAGGTGTCAATAATTAATAGCTTCTTTGCAAGGAATCTGTCTTGAGCTACTAATATAGATCTTGATACTTGCTTCCTTTGTTTCTTCTCCTTCAGTATTTCTACGTAATATTATCCGGAGATATAGAGTAATACTGTTTTTCTTTTCGATAAATTAGCTAACAATCATTTTTTCATTAGAATGAAAAAAAATTGGATAGGAACAAGTTGATTTTGAAGATTACAAAACTGAGAAATTACCTGTAGAGTAGAGTTAATTGTGTCACTGTATAGTCTTGAACATTTTGAGGAGTTGTCATCTTGTGTATTATCCCTGGAAATTCATAAAAAAAAAGTCATTTAAGACACAAATATGGGAAGTGTGGCGGATTCATGACTTTCCAGCTCCATTAATATCTAATCAATATGATTTACAATACAAAAAAAAAAAGAACTTCAAAATGAAAATAGCATTATACCAAATAAAATACGTACCTTTCATTTGATTACTCACATTGAAACACGGTATTGAATAATGGATTCTTTGTAGTTTTGGATCCATATTGAAAGGAGAAGAAATTGAATAATATCACATTGCACAGCTAAAGCGTTGCTTTTTTATTTATTTATTTATTTTTTATGATTTTAATGTTTACTTCAACAGCCAAATTCAAGCAACTAATCAATCTGGAGCATTCTCAAAAATGTACTTTCCTTGTATCGGAAAACATTCTAAATAGAAATACCAATCAATATATAAAATTTTAAAAAATAAATGTTTTTTAACATTTCTTCATTTATTTATAATACACTAATCATAAATAAAAGGAGAAGTAGTAAAACATTTTATCAAATGCCACAATTCATAAAAACTATAGTTACAAAACCTATTTGAATTATAATATTAGCAAGTAAATATTTGCATGCTAACATGCATCAGGGACCAATTTTTTAATTTTTATTTTGTTGTAGTTTATATTTCTAGAAATGGTGAAATTTTACTAATAACAACAATAGCATTAACACGTCTTTACCGCAATCTGAAACAAACCTAATCTAAAATTTTATTGCACACCTTTTTTCCAGGATATAATGTTAACTCCTAAAGCAGGAGGCATCTATAACGCAAATTTGTGCATACTACCAACACCAATCCGTCAATATTCCTACAGGCTTATACCTTGCGGTTTCTTAAATGTGGACACATTATTTAAATTTGTTTCCTAACCTAACATTCACTGATCTCAAAGATTAATACAAGTTAAACACCTTAAGTGACATTACAAGGTGTGTTGATCAACTTACTCAAACCAAAAATTTAGTGTAGAATAACGGCTCTTGCAATAAGTCATCTTAGATTCTTTGTTCTTGTCTAATGGTATACAATTTTGTGATTGTAGAAACAAGTTAAGCGCAAATTTGTTTTAATATGACAAATAAAGTTTTACTCAAGTGACAATTTGGAAAACGTCGCGATTTTGGCTATTCCTACCGTCTAGATTTTTCAATACTGCTTCGACCTCCTCTGCCTTAAGAGACTCTTGCATCCGCTATCACTCTATATCCTACTTTATCCTGGCCTACCAACTTTTCTTGTTCAACAAAGAATGTCCTCCAACACACTCCACAGGATTGCTTATGCACTCATCCTAGCAGCGTGACCAGCCCAAATAATTCTACCAAGCTTGTAAACTTGACCACAAGTTTACAACAACCACAGCTACTCGTAAAGTTCGTCGAGTTCTCTATTCATTCTGATTTTCTAGTCCTCTCTCAGGACCAATCGTCCGTCGCAACCCCATTAGATCTTTTTCGTTGCTCTTTGAGAAAGAGGGTCAGTTTTATTTATCTGATAACGCTACGGCGAGTAGTCTTCAGAAGCCCAAAGTAACATCAGTATTTAATTTCAGCAGACATATCACTAGAGACTACGGATCCAAGGTAGATGAATTCCATCACCTTCTCAAATATGTAAGGGTCTCACATTTGGGATCACCTCCAAAATGTGTGCACATATATTTGTTTTTTGCTTCAATGATGATGAACCGACCTCATGTGGTTTGGGAAGATATCCTCTATAACTGTTCGCTCGAGATCGCTCAACATTATCTAGTTCGTCAGCATGTCACCTGAACCACACGGCCAATAATTGTACCACTTGTCTGGATTTCTGAGTCTCTTGCCACCATTTGTAGGTCATAGTTAAAACGAAGATTAAGATGCCAGTCCATCACCTTGCTTTAAACCCTTTTGAGGCGAAATCTCAGTAGAACAATCCGACTTTATCCGGACTTGGATATTCCCACAAACATCCATGAACCTGCTTAAGACTGTACAAGAAGAGATTTCATTTATTTATTTATTTTTTTTCATCTATGCGGCCTATTAGTTCACCTTACCGATACCTAGCAGCGCTACACGTAAAGTAACACGCATTGTGTCCAAAAATTGTATTTTTGTTTCTTATTATTGTTGTAAATATGTATATACAATGTGACTATAATTTAGTTTAATGGTAATAAGGTATACTGATCAAAGATTTGAAATAACAGTAACTGTAACGACTCTTGTTAGCCAATTTATTCATGGCGGAATGATTTCCATGATTCTCAAAATTCTAATACAGATCTTGAATCTGCATCCTTGAGGATGTCAGACCTTCCAAGTAGATTGATCAGTATATTTTAGGACTTTATCAGTATATTTATAGGATTTTTGGCTATAAATCAATCAGCCTTTTATTTCACTATGTTCCTTTAACCTTTTCTCTCTCCATACAAGGTCTGGATGCTCATCCATCCGCTTGTACTCCTATAAATTATATCAGTTGACTCATCTCTCCGTTATCTCTCATCATATTATTTTATCCTCCCACAAAGTCTGGAGGCTGATCTCTTCGTTTGTGGTCATCCATTCTGCGGTGCCGTCTCTTAGCCCGCAGACCAAGAGTGATTTGGGTTCTCATCCACCTGAGACTTGTGGGTCATCCTGTCTTAGCCTTCTCCTCATCCACTGAGTCTATTTTTTCTTATTTGATCACGCTCTGTCGAGGCCTTCTGATCACTCTAATTACCTATCTCTACACATCCATGAGATTCAAAATCAAACATCTAGTAATTTCATGGGGCCAAAGAAAGGGTATATGGGTCAAATATTACGAACCAAAACAATTTCGTCGGAGAATGAAATAGAAATAAACTGAATCACCATTGAGGTGACTTTGCTTATGCAAAATTAGGTTTTTATCTTGAAGCTAAACATAGTATCACGCGTCCAGTAATATGGATAAATGGACATGAAAGTATGGATGGCCTGCAAGGAACAATTTAGAAATCTGAATCCTTATGTATTAATTTATCTAATTATTAATAATGCATAATCATAAATCAATACTCATTTTTCTTTTACACACTATTAATACTGATACCAACCGGCAGTGGGGTTGTATTATAATGATGTTTTACTTTTGATTTTTACCAGCAATAAAATTAGCTACTCTGTTCTCAATCCAATATCACCGTTGTCGTTTATCAATAATTATCTATTTTAACTGTTGTTATTCTGAAAACATATTCTTTTATCATTTTTTAGAAGTTTAAAACAATGGTAACACCCTATTGTCTATTTAACAATTCTAAGCAAAATTCTAGCTAAAACAAACTTTAGAAATAAACCACCTACCTTGGGGCTATTAGAAATTATCCCCTTTATGAGGTCCGCTGGCAGGAAGTGATCTCTCCTTTTCTAGGATAAAAAGTTTTTTTGAACATATATCAACAAATCGCCTGTTATAATAATAGTAGCAACACAAAGCCAATGTTTCTTCCCTCTATAAGTGTTAACCGATTCTTGACAGCCCTAAATGCCAAATAGTTAACTAAAATGAACTACGGCAGAACACCAGTTAAAATTAAATTTTGACTAAATTTTTATTGTATTCTTTATATGATAATAAAGTTATCGATTTATAACTTAAATTTGAAAAAAAAAACACGCTTAATAATCACAAAACTCAGGTTCATTTTTAAACATCAAACAAAATCGTGATAAGAATAAATTGTGAGTTTTAAATGTATTATATGATTTAGATTATGCTTATTTAACATTCATCACTCTGAAATAAGTCCCATGACCCAATTTTAATTGTACCGAATATTTTACACCTAAAGTCTCCAAACTAGGGCCAGCGAAAGTTCCTTTGATTACAGAATACATTATTTTTTTTTTTTAAATGAAATGTAGTAAACCATTCGAACACAATATTACTACACATTTTATTGCATGAGGCATTTCTCTTAGAAATCCCATTTTGAGAATGCCGATATAACGACTTTAAATATGAATGTCTTTCAGCAGCAGAAATTTTTGCAGACCACTTAAAAATATTCGTGAAACACTGGTTAAGAAACTATACTCCAGTAAAAAACCATGCCTCGGTATCAGATACTGCAAGAATCACATGTAGATATGTCATTTCTTCGGCTCGTGACTGAATGTTCAATCCACTGCACTAGCGTATTCAGGATTTGATTTTGGGGAGAGGCTTCAGCCCGAAAGCTTTTTTTTTCATATATATATATATATATATATATATATATATATATATATATATATAACGATAATTACGTCATTGAAGTCCTATTAAATGTAACTACACGATTAATAATACTTTAAGAGATATTTTTTTTTTTTTAATATTTTCTCCATAAAACATGGTTACATTTTACCATTTTTGAGGGAGGGGGCTTCAGCACGAAATCCTCCCCCTCCCCCACCTCCCCGTAGATCCATCGGCTGTGATCCATTGTCATTGTTTGAAGACTGTATACTAAGTCACAAGATATTTGTAAATTTAATATTAATTTTTACAGTAATTTAATACTGATTTCTCTTATTTTATGACAAAATAGTTGTGAAAAGTGTTTTTGATAAACGAGACAGAAGGGATGCGAAAGTTTTTTAGTTAAGCCATGTTTATGAAGGGTTTAGCAAGGGTTTCTGTGTCTAACATTAGTTGCGCCGGAATAGCACTACATAATAATTTTGTATTTTTGTCGACAATTTGGCATTGCACTAAATTTAAAAGTTGTTCTAACTTTTTTGCAGATATCAGAATACATCTTTTGTAATACAACCGTTGATTAAGCTCCCAACCTAAAACCGCAATATGCCACTAACGGATCGAGTATTTAATTTGTGGAGGGACTTCAGCCAGATTTTTTTTTTAATATTGTTATATATTACGATAATTATTTTGAGAGAAAAAGAAAAAAATTAACTACATATATAAAATGGTGTTTAATTGATTCTTGAATTAAATGTTATAAGAAGAACAATAATACTTTTTTAAATATTTTTGTTATAAAACATTGTTATATTTTACTTTTTTTTGGGGGGGGGGGGGTGACTTCAGGTCGAAAGCTCCCCCTCCCCCCCCCGTGGATTTGCCTTTATACTGACACGTTTTTCCTTAATTCAATTCCATTTATTTTTTAAACTCTTTTTCAGATCACATTTAAAAATAATCCTTCATATTATGTATATATTATTATTGAATGAGTTTCTAATATATAATTAATTAATCCAGAATAATAATCTCCAACTGATAAAACTATCTCTCCACGAATAGAATCATTATAGACTGGAATTCAATGCTTCAATGCTGATATAATAATAATAATATATAATAATAAGATATTTAAAATAAATGTCTAGAACTGGACTGCTATATATTTAAAAGTGTACTATTCGAGTATATATATATTAATGTAGTTTAGTCTGAATTGCACTTTTTTTTTTTAAAGAGATATAACGAGTTACTACTTTTTACTACTTCGACGTTTTAAAACGTTAGTAATTTCCGAGATACTGAAGAAAAAACACAACAAATTATCATATTATAAAGTTATTTGGGATTTTCAGTCGTTAGATGTACTGTCTTTTTCTTTGTGCCGAAAAAGATTTCGGACGAACTTTAGAATGAATAGCCCTGGTGGCCTGAAACTTACGTCAAAACTCCAGCACATAGAAAATATTTTGAATGTGTACTTTTAATGACTGCAATATCCAACTAACAGTAAACCATTTCTCCACCAATTTGAACATAATAATTATCATTCATTTGCATTAAATAAATGTTCTCAAATTTGAAAATCAATTTTAAGTATCCAAAGACAATTATGATAGAATTCTAGAAATTTTAACTTTCCAAGTTAAAAACTTCTTATCTAGAGAAGGTGGGAATAAATCACGACCAGTTACTACCTAGGACTTCTTTAGGTCCAAGAATAATAGGAGTTACGATGGTAATGGTCTCTCCGGTTTACCCAGGATTATTGTAATTAAAATAAATATATGAAGAGACTTATTACATGAGTGGATCATAGGTTATTTAATTGAAATAAGAAGATACATTTATGACAAGGTGTAAGAAATTATTAGTTAAGAAATGATGTCGCTAATTAGGAAAGAACGAACTTATCACCCAATATCTTTGGCGACGATTCCGATATTTTGCTCTTTGTTAAAACGTTCAGCCCACTCTTCATTTTAACCACACAATCATGTTTGTTGTTTAATTATAAACTTGGTACAATTTTATTACAATTATATTATTTATTTATTTCATTCTAATAAATAATGAATGGAATTGTAATGTACATTCTGTATTATTAAACCATGAATATTCCGATAAGAGCCGAAATGATTAAGTATTATCCAAATAGAGAGGAAAGGAAACATTGACCAGTGTGTGGTTTACTCCAATATTTGCAGAAGAGGAGCCATATATGCAAGGCACATCCAATACAGCTTTATAGCAGCCATAATATTGAGAGTAAGACAAGCAGAGTGGCAGGCGAAAGAGAGAGAAAGTGATTGGCTGTTGTGGCCTTACAGAGATGGGAGGGCGGTGGCAGGGTCGTATTTCCTTGGTCGGCCCCGTGATAAGTGTCTCCTCTTGACGAATTCTGCATCGTCCACCATCCAGAACGAACCAAAATCATCCTCGTATCTGACGAAACACTTGTGAAGAGAGAGATTCGTGCGGATAGCGTTCTGTATAAAGTACACAGAGAACACAAGTTTTGTAGAACAAAAACTCCCGACACGAACATAACAGAGAAGAGGGGTAAAAGTTTCAAAAAGAAATAAAAGTAAAAAAGAGAAAAAGAAAAAGAGAAAAACTAAGCTGCCACTATTCGCTGTCTAACAATACATTTCCGATTGGGGTTTACCTGCTTCAGCTTCCCACTCCTTCCCGCTCGATGATCCCGTTCTTGGTGGTGTATGTATCAATGTGTATATATAGATGTATGTATATGATATATTTGTATACTTAGGATTTTGATGCCAAAACATGCTAAGCCACACATATTATAATCAATTAACAAAAAGAAATGATGTTTTATATTTTAGACCCCCAATCGGTATGTTTGGAAGAAGGTAATAGTGTAGCTGTTTAAACCTTTTCGTTGTTGACATACCCGCTGGTACAGCGTTGGGGTCTCCTTTTGTGGAATTCGACTTCATCAACAGTCCATACGGCACCTTTAATGTTTTCCACCCGCATGAAACATTTGTGAAGTGATAGGTTGTGCCGGACTGCATTCTATAATTCATGAGAAAACTGTCAACGCTTATAACTCCAATGATTTCTGCCTCTCCTGATTAAAATCATTATTCAACAAAAATATAATAAACACATAATTGTAATTAGTCATCAATAAATAACCTGTTTCAAAAACTGAATCTTATGACAAAATCATAACATCTGCTGTAATTGACACAGTTTAACTCTAACATACTAGGTGAATACAATATTTTATATAATCCTATTTTTTTATCTTGAGATATTTTCTAGCATACTGATGTGCCGAGAGAAGTGCAAGAATGCCACTCCTCAAATAGGTCAAAGGCAAATGACTTCTTATCCCCGATAGGCTCCAGATACTGAAGCTTTAGGATTAATGTACACTTCTTTTTTTTTATTTTACGGGATGCGAACTCGTAATTTTATTCTCTCCAAACTTATCAGGTTGCCAGGCGCTGCTATGCTCATACATTAGCCCGTTTCGTCACTCCGCTCCTGGATTAATGCCAACTACCAACTATCTTAAGACACCACTACTACCATCCTACAAAAGACAGAATCAATGACGTAAATAGTTCAGAAGGCTTCCATCCCCTCTCCTGCAGTCTAATACGATGCCGCCATATGCCCCTGCTACCCTCCCTCTCCTCACCCACGCACCTCAATATTACTAGGTAAGCATTAAATTAGGTATGAGTTTGAGACAACAGCTATTGTTACTGCTACTGCTGGGGAAAATAGTCCTCCAAGTGGGCCCTTGTGGTTTTTTTTTTCCAACTTTAAACTGCCGCCGCATACTCACCTGAATGGAAGTGTCAAGATTCATTTTCTGGAGCCGCCGAGATATAAATATTAACTGACCCAGATGGGAATCGAAACCAGAACGTTCAAAACCTGACAATCTAGGACTCATACCCAGAGATGGTCAAATGTTACTCTCAGTACCGAGTACCAAGTATTATACTCAAATTGAATTACCATTGGGAATCCCCAATCACTACTTCAGTAATGACTTCAAAGGAAGTAGTAATTAAATTATTTGGTAATCAAAAAAGCTCAGTATTTGAGTGAATAAAAAACTGGTGAATACTTGGTACTCATTACTCAGTACTTGGTACTTGGTAAGGTTTCACATCTCTGCCCATTCTGCAACGTGTGCTTGTCCATCACATCTTCACACAGTCGATATTCATGATTCCTAGACACAGGCCGAAGAGAAGGGAGACATCGGAAATGCCTGGCTCCAATTCTGGCCTACGAAGTTTTTATTTTTTAACTTCTTAATTTAAATTTATTTACATACAAGGCCGTTTATAGTTCAATTGAACTAAGAAATGGAAAATTCTGGTGTAATTGTTCTTATCCAGCTTATACAATGTTTTTTTAATTATTGAACACGAATTTGACGTTATCCATCAACAATTTTTTCGCAAAAATGAAGAATCATAAATGCTTTTGTTTTTAACATGCTAAGTATGCGTTTCACGCAAAAAATGATCCTATATATTGAAACAAACAAAAGAAAATTACCAAGTTTTTTTTTTTTTTTTTTTTTGTGGTGACTTACGGTTTTCGCGCAACACAATGGCAAAAGCCATTTTAAAAAATAGAAAAATACACCTGACTCCTTTTTAACTTTTTAAAAATAAATATTAAATATTAACTAGATCAATTTCAGATGTCTTAGTAAGGCATCTACCCATATATTGTTAAAAATCCATTATATTTTCCAAACCTAATATTTCATGTCACTATAATCGTAAATCGAACTTCAAGCATCATCAATTTTTCTCAGCAAATCAACTTCGATGATACTTGGAATAAGTTGTAAATCATCATGATTGGACGACATGAAAAGAATCATTTTAAAGTATATTCTTTGAGGAAATTATTAAACACCTATTACTGAATTTTCATAATAAGCTGCCTCAAAATATTTTTCTAAGGTAAACATTATTTAATCGTATTGATTATGACAGTCTTGGAATAATAAATTCGATTTACATTTTTTTTTTATATTAGACGTTTTGCTGTGTCAAATACCTGCTGATGTTATTAATATCACAGAAGATTTCATTTTATCTCTATAAATTAAAAAAAAAAAAAAAGGAAGAAGAAAAAATGTATCGACAACACGGAGAATTTTTTTTTAATATTAGTTCGACAGGTTATTTATTCACCTGCAACAATATCAAAAACATGTTTTTTCATTGTGATTTACAACAATAAAAAATAAAATAACATATATAAAATATAGATATGACACAACAAGCATACTAAAATTAAAATAATACCATTATTGTAGTAATTGTTTGATTTAGTTTCACCAACAACTAGAAATATAGTTCTAAAATTTATTTCTGTATTAAATTATAATAAAATACTGAATTTTCGAAACGTATTCAGTTCAAGAACACACAAAAGCATGTTTAAATAAAACTCATTTGTTATTGCATTGTGTAAATGTAATTGTTGTTAGTTTGGTATAGTTTATATGATAACCACATGTTTGTAAAAAGTTGTCAACTTTACACTGTGTTATATAATGGAGATTATAAAAAAAATAAAGAAAAATCGCTGTTACCTTCCAGGTAGCTGCGTTTCTCCTGAAGTAGCAGAAAGTGTTTTGAAACCAATTGTAGATTTCGTTTAATGTTAACTGTTTGTCGGGTGATTCAATGATGGACTGGAAGGAAAAATATATCTATGTTAGAAAATGTTATAAAAACATTATTATAATAAAAAAAAATACTATAACTTAAATCATATCAGGTTGTATCACATTAAATGATTTTTATTTTTTTTTTTGCAAAATAGCATTAATAACCTGATTTTATTAATTAAATTATTTGTCCGTGGTAGAGACCTCTTTTTATCAAATTATTAACATCCGCCTAAAAGTTTTTAAATAGCTTCATCTCATGTAAATCTACAAATATTTCATTTACGAAAATTCTCGGAATTAGGGCGTTTACAATCTGGAGATTAGCAAACATTGTGTATTTAATTAGGTACTAAAAACTCATGAAACCCATTTGTTATCCACTTGAATCATAAGATATGATCAATAAATCGAGAAAAAAAAATGTAGCCTACAAAAATATTGGGCTCTTTGATCTGTATAACCTCGTTATTTTGACATTTTGTGGATGGAGGTCAAATTAAACGGACCAATATTTTTGTAGGCCACTTTTTTTTCTACTTTTTTATCATATCATCTTACGATTCAAGTGGAAAGCAAATGGGTATTTATAAGTTTTTCAGTACCTAATTAAATAGACAAAGTTTGACTATCTCCAGATTGAAAACGTCCCAATTCCGAGAATTTTCGTAAATATAATATTTGTAGGGTTACGATAAGATGAAGCTATTTACGAACTTTTAGGTGGATGTTAATAATTTGATAAAAAGGAGTCTATACCACTACTATATGTGCTTTGGCTTCTATACAACTATACCAGTGTAGAAGGTATAATTTATTTCCTCTCCACAAAAACTTGAAAAATGGCTTGGCATTTCGATATTAGTATTATTAATTTGTTTAGAACTAATTGTAAACAAGTTACAATCAGCCTCTAAACATCAGAATGCATTCATAACATCTATGAAACATGAAGGAGGTCTCGCTCATTATACCTATCCTGGTGAAACAAGGTTTAGATTAGGAAGGTCGATAGTCGATAGTATCGGATTAGCAAATAATTCCTTTCGGTTTTCAGGGTGAAATAAAACTCAATGTATTATAGAAATAAAATTTATTTTAATCTACAATATATTGACCATTATTTAATATGACTTTTTCCCATCTTTCCACTAACTGCATAATGCCATGTTCATAGAATGTCTGAAGTTTATTGTTAAAAAAATGATATCAGTGGGGTTTTTGACATCCTCTTCCTTTTGGAATTTATTTTCATTCGTGGAGTTCTGCAGAGATCGGAATATGTGGTAGCCACTTGGAGCTAGGTCTGGTGAATAGGGAGGGTGGGGCAAAAGGTCCAATCCAAGGCTCAATAATTTATTGCGAATGACCAATGAGGTGTGGGGCCTAGCGTTGTCTTGGTGGAACACAACACCCTTCCGATCATTCATAACTCTTCAGGATGTTCTCCAAATCCGATGTTACTAAATCCTCTGGAAAGCTGAATTATTGCTCTTCAAAGCCGTATGAATGTTTTTTGCCAACCCAATACTACACAATTTATTTTAAATTGGTACATACTTAAAGGAATAATTTTAATAACACGTCCTCATATTTCTACCAATTTATTGATGTACGAGATATAGTGACAATACATCAATGTAAATATTACGTGTTAATTTTTATATATTGGGGGCGAAGTGATTTTTAAGTTCATTTTTTTGGGAGAGGGGAGGAGAGAGAATCTGATCAAAAAGGAAAATAAAAAAAAAATGGTGGAAACACTGCATCTAAATATCAGTTTTTTCGTCCAAACTAGGGATGTGTGGATCTACGGGAGGGGGAAGGGAGGGCTTTGGGGCTTAAAACGTTTCAGAATGAAAAACTGTTCCGAAATGACATAATAAGAAAATAAATGGATAGGACTATGGAAATAAAGGTAATTTATATCTCTATATAAAGTATTTTAAAATTTAACAATTTTCTTTAGTGGCCATATTGACATGAATCTTTAGGAATGTATCCAACATAAATATTGATTATTGTTTGTATTGTATAAGTATTAAAGCAAACAGTTAAAGAATACAGTGAAAATTAATCGTATTTAAATCTGTGGCGTTAAGTTACTGAACTATCGATACTATCGATAGTTTTTCATAGATTGTATCGAACTATCGATAAATTTTCATAGATTGTAATGAACTATCGATAGTTTTCCATAGGTTGTATCGAATTATCGATAGTGGAAGACTATCGCCTAGCGCACATCGTCACTAGCGGATCCAGGATTTAATTTTGGGGAGGCTTCACCCCGAAAGCTGTTTTTTTCATAAACATAACGATAATTATTTTGGAAAAAAAAAAGAAACTAACTACCTATATGAAATGGTGTTTAAGTGATTCCTAAAGTCCTTTTAAAAGTAATTACACAAACAATAATACTTCAAGAGATAATTTTTTAATATTTTTTTTTCATGGTTATATTTTACCATTTTGGGTGAGGCTTCAGCCCCAAAGCCTTCCCTTCCCCCTCCCGTAGATCCACACATCCCTAGTTTGGACGAAAAAACTGATATTTAGATGCAGTGTTTCCACCATTTTTTTTTTATTTTCCGTTTTGATCAGATTCTCTCTCCTCCCCCCTCCCAAAAAAATGAACTTAAAAATCACTTCGCCCCCAATATATAAAAATTAATACGTAATATTATATGTAACTACTAGTTTTATGTCCGTTTTACTAATATTATTTTTTTAAAAAAAGATTAATCTGTGATCAGAATAGGCTCAGATTATTAAAATTTGATCCCTTTTTTTCCCGCTTCTAACATTGAAATTTCCCTAAAAAGGGAAAGTTTTCACCAAAGCGGGCCTGTTTAGAGGTTTAAGTGATTGTGGCAGCCTTAGACAATTGGCGCCCCCTAGCAATGGCAAGAAATAATATTTGAATTTTATTTTATTCAGTATGTCTCTAATTCAGTTATTTTATTAAAGTCAATTACAAAACCAGTGCATTGTCAATTGCAAAATTGCGTTATAATATTTTTTTATCCCTAACGCGTGGCTAAAGGACTTCAATTATCATCTTGGGTTAATAATTAATCATCAAAATAAGAAAATAATTATTTTATCATCTATTATTTTTATTGTATAACCATTTTTCAGATCATGTGATACAACCTGATATTTCTATAAAAGATAATTCACCTGTCTAATTAATGATGCATACGTGAACGGTGGCCGGACATCGGCGTTCTTGTAAAATTCCCTATTCCTTTCAATTTCTAAAACATTCAAGATATTTAAGCCAAATAAATCAATAAAATTCAAAGCACGGTATGTTCGAATAATATTAAATAAAATTGCAGAAACAACAAAGGGAACAAATTACTTTTCAAATACATAAACTAATAAATTTTTCACAATGTACCTTGTTGTACGTCCAATCCTGCCCTTTCCAACATATAAGGAAGGCCTAGAAAAAAAAAATTAAATTATTCTATGAGCAAAATATGATACAAATTTAATAAAATGTTTTGCAACCACCCATTTCTTGATGACTCTTAAATCATAATTTATATCATAATTTAGGATATTTTCCGACCCATTTAGGCCTTATGAAATCACAGTGGCCGAAACACATTAAAAAAAAAATTCCGCAAAAACCCATGAAGGGATCTCGGGATTCAGTACTTTTTAAAGATTTTCTTAAGTTTGGTCACTCAAACCGTTAAAAACAATATGCTTAACTTAAAGTGAATTACCATTCCCTTGAATGATGAATGACCGATAGTGTATACTAAATAAAAACAAAGTCATATTGTGGTGAACATAACTCTAAAAGTATGGTTCCGGTAAAATTATTACATATATTAATAATTTTGCATAGGTAGTTGTATCAATAATTAATGATATCCTTGAACTGTCGCTTCTCGAATAATTATACCTCAACTGTCTTATTCCGTACGTCCGAAGTTGTATATTATATATCTCAAATTTCGAATAATGTTAGTATTAAATATATTTAAAAAATATTTACTTTTTTTTTTAATAATTCTGATTGTCTTGATTTTTCATTAAATTGCTATAACAAAAGAGGTTGCGTGTGTCAATACTGTCTGGTTTATAGTAGGAATCAATATTTTAATTTATATATATATATATATATATATATATATATATATATCTTATTAATAATTTAAGTAACTGAATCATATTAATTATCACAGTGGCATACGGCGGTCCGCCGAGGGCTCTACAGCGAGATATAAGTTTTTTATTTTATTAAATGATAAATACAATAATAATCTTTAATCATACCAGAGCTTGTTTATATTAAGTGGTAATATTTTATATTCATAATAATTGTACATATATAATGAATATTTATTAATCAATTAAGAAATAGAATATAGAAGAATATACATACATATCTTGTATTTAATTCATATGTTTTAGGAATGAGCACAATTAAAGCAAAATATTGTAATAATATTCAGTTGAATAATTATTTCAATATTAGAAACAATATTTTCAACAAACTTATTTTTTTGCATGCCGTCAATATTAAATCAGCCCGAACCCCACATTAACAGGATTTTATATAAAAATGTAAATGTACACTGGCGAATTTGAATTTTATACTTGACATGAAATTTATTTTGAGCTATCATTAACAAATATTAATGATACTTACAAATATTGTACTGCTCATTTTGTCTACATTTGTTAAATATAGTTCAGACCTCTAGCAACGGTAGGTTACGGACGACGCGTCACCGATTTCAATGAAACTTTTTTTAGATGAAATCCGGACTTTTTTTTTTTTTTTATATCTAAGCCTAATTTATTTTTGGTTTGTGCCTTTTTGATGAGTGAAGCCATGTCGAAGTTATCACAATTTTTGGACTATATTCCATGTATACATGCTTTATTCTAATTTTTGGGTTGAATCTAGACAAAATACCAAATTGTATGCATGTAATCTTATTTTCGACACCCATCCGGTTTGGAAAAAAATATATATTTGGCAAACAGCTATAGTATGAGTACAATATGAGAAATGACTTTTTCCGATAATGATTAAAAACGAATAAATTTAAAAAAAACAAAAAACAATATGACGCATTGAAGGATTTAGTCGTCATACATAGTTCTTATTTTAATCAACCCCTCCTCCCCTCCCTTTCAACCCCTCGTACATATCTATACAGGGTTTTAAATAATAAATGGGTGTTTATTGAGTAATTTAAAGATACTGGAAATCATAAATTATTTTTTTATTTATTCATGATATTTACAACTGTATTAATAAATAAAATATATTTAGCAAATTTGATAACAGAAAATAATAACATGAAATCTCTTGTTGAGAAACTACCCACTGGTAGCACTCTAAAAACAAAATGTATTTACAATAAGAGATCTCGAGGCCATTTTCTTTTCAGATGCCTCGGAGGATTATCAGGAATAGAAGAGGAAGCAAGGTTAGAGACGAGAGGATTCGGATGGTTCTGAAGTTTATTATGGAAGGATTGGTATCTGGATTGGCCCAAATTGGAAACATAAGGAACGTTAAGGTCATTATGGATTATTTTATTGGTGACAAAGTAAGGAGCATTGAGAATTTTCCGAAGGATTTTGGATTGTAAGGATTGGATACGAGAGGAATTCGATGGCTTAGTGGAGCCCCAAAGCTCAACTCCGTAAGTCCAAATAGGTTTTATTGTAGTCATGTATATAAGTCTTTTGTAATTAACTGGAAGCTTAGAGCGTTTGTCTAGTAAGTGTTGGAGTAGTCGAAAACGTCGATCGGTTTCTTGTCGTTTCAGTCTGGTATGAGGATTCCAAGTTAGACGTTTGTCCAAGTGAAGTCCAAGGTATCGGATTTGTTCAACAGGGATAAGTGGGGTATTATTAAAGGATACAGTGGGACCCTCGGTCATAGGTTTACCTCGAAGGGTAAAGGTGATTTGATGGGATTTATTAAATTTATTTTAATCCTCCAGTTTTGACATCATTCTTCAAGGCTTGTGATATGTGATTGAAGAGTTTGGGATGCAATGGTTGGGTCATTATTAACGGATAGGACACATGTATCATCGGCATACGTGGTAATAACAGTGTTAGGATGGGTTGGGATGTCAGCTGTATAAACTGTGTAAAGGATAGGACCAAGGATACTACCTTGAGAAACACCAGCGGACTGGGAAAAGAGGGATGAATAAGCATTATTGTGATTGACTTTGGAGTATCTATCAGTTATATAGGAACAGATAATGAGGAAGTATGTAGGATGTAGGAATTTACGGAGTTTGTCAAGTGGTCCTCATAAATTATAAAAATCATAATTATAAAACATTTAATATTTACCTCCAGTTATGGACAACGCTGACTTATCGGATATTCTACGTTTGGTTGAGCTGGGAGTCGGTGGCCTGAGGGGAGATCTAGCAGGTGTAGATTGGGGATTGGCGCCTATGAATCCAGGAGACGAACTTCTTTTGGGTACATTAGAATTCCTCAACACCTAGAACGAAACATTTTTTTTTTTTACTTGGAATATGTTTGTTTTCAAGTAATATTTAAAGCCATATAAGAATAAAAATAAATGTTCTTAGTAGAAGCCAACTGAAATGAAATGATTTTGTAAAACTAAATTAAATTCTTAAACTTCAGAGCCAGGGTTCGCGTCTAGTACCAACAAATTTTTTTTTTTAATGTAGACTACGCTCGAGCTACGTATGTACCTCTGACAATGGCTTTAACAAAAGCAATCGCAGGCCTAATACAATAATAGTTCTTGTAATTGTAAAATTTTATTTTATTTTATTTTCATTTTTTTTTCAAAAAAACTGTTCTTTCCGTTTTTAAAAATGTTTTCATCTCAGTATTAACCCATGTACAAATAAAAAAGCGAAACAAAGCGAAACAATTTTTTAATTTATAAATAATGTGTGCAAAATGAAATAGCTACTCGAAAAAACATACAAATTCTTTTAATAGTAAATAAATAGTAATAGTTAATAAATTCTTCAAAGAGTTCCATTTGCAATGAGTCAACGAATTGTGTATTTTTTGTTGATAATAGTAACGGTGTATCAAACTAATACCATCAATTCAAAACAAAAACTAGTTTACAGAATTTTAAACAGTATAAATTTGAACTCCTTAAATGGAATAACATAGAACTCAATTCTTTTTATTTAATTATTTTTTGTTTAATAATTTAATTAAGGCTCCTTTTTATCAAATTATTAATAATCATCTAAATCTTCATGATTAACTTCGTTTTATCGTAACTTACATTTTGGTATACGAAAGTTCTCTAAATTAGGGCGTTTTTGAATGGTAAGACAATCACAAAATCGAGAAAAAAAGGTGGCCTACAAAAATATCGGGCCGTTTAACCTATACAACCTTTGTGGGCCACCCTTTTCGACGATTTTGTGATCAAATTATCTTACAAGAGGAATGCAAATGGGTGTTCATAAGTTTTTAGTACATCATTAAAATGATAAATCTTACTGATCTCAGATAAAAAAATGTTCCAATTCTGAGGGTTTTCGAAAATAAAAAAGTTCTGGGTTACAACAAAATGGCATTCACGAATTTGTAGACTATTATTAATAATTTGATAAAAGGGGGCTGTATCGCCGACTATTTGTTGTATATTAGGTATAAAACGTCCTTGTGGTACTCAGATTAGGTAAATAGCGATAAATGTAAAGATCTTTCCGATACAACCACTTTTCCTTTAGTAGATTTTTTTGAGAATTTGTGTGATAACTGAAGTACCATTATGACTTTTCTATGTTTTTGTAATTAACTAGATATATCAATGTGTATTTTATCTTCAAGATAAGTTGTTTATGTATAATAAGTTTAGAAAACTTATGTTTCGAAAAATGAACTTGCGAATGCAAAGAAGTTTCATTACATCTTTCAATTACATAGAGCGTTGCCTTTTTGGTTAATTTAAACATAGTTCATTAAAAACGTTAAGAAATACTTGAGTGACATTATGAATGTGTTTTAAAAGAATACTAATTTTCATCAAGAGATATGAATACCTTTGTGGACGAATTTCCACATTAAGGTAGCAATGCTGTCTCCAAAGACAAAGAAGTGCCAAGCAGTATTAAGGCAAATGAAATTTACAATCAAATATGCAACACAATAGTAGGCAAGAGAGAGGTTACTAATCAAGTCAAACTCTTCTTCTTCAAAGCTATAAAGGAGTGCCCAGAAGGGAGTTTAATGGAGCAAGATGCGCCAGTAGAATTTTTGAGGGGGGCACATTTTGACAAGGTTTAGAATTATTGAGAGAGTGGAGTAGCTCAGTGGTAGGGTACTGAGCTTCTAATGCTAAAGATCGCAGCTTCGAATCCCGGCTCATGGTAGAAAAAGTATTTATTCTGTTTCATTGGCCGTGGGGTGACCCTGGATAGATAGACCCTCCTGGGGCGAACCCAGGCTCTATAAAGTGGGTACCTTTAATTAAAAATAATTAAGGCGGTTGAGCGTGATTTCGGTCAAATCACCTCCTTGCATAACCGTAGACCAAGAAAGAGTGCTTTCCCTAAATATTACTGAGCCCAAGATCCTTCATGGGTTGTAGTGGTAAAGGTTATAGAATTATTGAGGAGGGCACATTTTGATAGTGTTTAGAATTTTTTAGGGGGGCCACATTGCTTCAGGATTGAATTTTCTGAATGAAAAGTTTTTACCAAGGGACAAGAGAAAAACGTGGACAAGACCACATCAAGTATAATTGGATATTATCTACATTTCTTCTAACTCGCCTTTCACTTGCTCTATTTTTAAGAAAAGAACAGCTATGAAATTTCGTGGTAAGGGAAGGGGGAAATTTATGCGCCATCGACCTTGAAGCTCTCTATCTACCGACTCTGTTATATGTTTCTGAGAGTTGGGTAAAGTTGGACAAACATAAAATCGGTCTGTTTGCGATTCAAATGAAATATCTCCGCCGAGTAGCTGGCTGGAGAAACAGCATCAGACGATAAGGGTATAGTTGGCCACACCATCATTGAAAACCACCTTCAATAAAATACAACTAATCTGTGCTGCCCCAGAGGCAGACTCGGGATATCTTCTTCAGACTGGCTATTGAGAAATTATTAAAAACCATCAGAGAACTGAAAATTAGGGCAAAAAACCTGATTGGTTCCGGTCGATAAAGGCTTCTCTATCCTAAGAGGCAAAAACGGAAGAAGAAAATATGAATATATTGAAAATATCCGTAGTGTGAAATTCAGTTTTACTTTTGGATCTAATACATACAAGTTAAAAGCCTTCCGAGAGAAGACTGTGGGCACGTTTAATCAAAATCTACTACTAAATTGTTCGATGTTTTATGTTTGTCTATTGAAGGATGTATGACACTGCATCTGATTTGAAAATGTTGATTTGCTGCCTACAACACGACTAAAACCAGTTAAATTGTATTTAAAATAATGTTTTTGACTCACATTTGAAAGCTCTGTGCTGGTGTCTGGATCGGGTGCAGATTGCTGCTTGGACATGTGGAGGTGTATCATCATAGCTTGTAACCTATCTCTTTCCTTCTGTAACTGAAGTTCTAATTGCGAGACCACTTGCATTTGCACCCTAGCTTGCGCAGTTGATCTGTCGTCCAAAGTGTGTTCATTATTTAAATGTCTGAAATAATTAAAACGAAATCGTTATACCTTAACTGTAAATTTAAATCAAGGATCATAAAAACATCTAATATTGCCTAAACAATTTGTACTGAAAATAGGTAGAGAATACCTACTTTAAGAAAGTTTTCATATCTTCACATAACGTATCACATCCGGGCCATTTACATACTCCGTGACCAAACAGTAATTGTACCTTTTCACTTTTATTATCAATATTTAACTCTTCTTTCAGAGTAGGTAAACTCCCATTTACACATTCCCTTCTGTTTGGGCCAATCGATCCTGAAAAAAATATATATACATCAGTTAATAGAGCTGTTAATCTTAATATTTATAATATTGTTAAATTTGATAAGGCAATATGTGTGAGATTAAGTATCAGATCAGAGATCAACAGATCAGCTAAACAAAAACTAGTTGAACGAAACTTTTGAACTCATGTCATAATATTTTTAACTTAAATCCTAGTACTACCTTAATTGTAGGATTATTTTTTATGTGCTTTTGGATATACTTGAAAATATCTGAACAAAACAGTTAGATATATTAAAATTTGTTATGAAGTTTGTTTGTTATTAAATTTGTTATTTATTAAAATTAAATATGAGAGGAATGGGGACAGCTTCCATAGCACAGGTACATTTCTATAACTTTTCCAGCTAAAAATGAATAACTTTAAAAATGAAAAATATTTTTTATTTCATAGTTTGTACCACCTCCAAATGAAAATAAAACGTTTTCACAATCTGACTAAGTAAAAATGTCTACAAAAACATTATCTATAAAATATAGTTGTGTTTATTAAATATATGTTTACTAAATTTATTGCAGAAAGTGTATAAGAAAATTACGTGAAAATGAAGGTGTCCACATGAAAGGTTGTGTTTGTGCGGAAATGGTTTGAATTTCCCGCGTTACGGCGAATGGTTGGGGATCAGAATACCTAAAAGATAACACTTTATCCGCAAGGATTTGAGGACTAGGTACAAAGATTGGGGTAAGTGAGTTTTGAGCTTAAAAAACAAGCCATCATGCCACACCCGGTCGATAGCTTGCGCTACGTCCAGAAAGGCACCGGTGCAATATTGCTTGTTTTCAAGCGCAGAGGATATATGGTCAACAACGCGAAGGCCTTGTTGAACAGTAGAATATTGCCCATGATTTTGAATGTTGCCTATTAAGAACTCATGAGAGTTATTTGCCTTGCCTTGATTAAAATTTGGAAAGTTGCCTAAACAGGTGGATAAATCATAAAATCTAAGGAAATGTTTCTATATTATTATTCCTGAATATGAATGAAAATTTAAATAACAGGATGTTTCGGCCGTGATAAAATAGTTAGGTGCCTACTTAGAGGCCTTAGCTTAGCCATCTAGTCGACTTTTCTTATCTTCTTAATCGATTTTAGATAAAATGTTTTATTCATCCATGTAGGTTATTTATTATAAATTTTAATTTTTTTTTTACATCAAATTATTGGAGGAGGGAAGGAGCGAGGGGATGCTCTCGTCCGTAAACATTTTTCTTTAATTTAAATTTTCGTATAGGAAGAAACGGCTTTCAACCGACTAGCCGCAGTTGTATATTCAGATGAGGTTTATCTAGAATTTATAATGGTTACTAGCTTTAAGCCCTTCAGTTGAATGAAATGTTCGGTAGCTCCTAGTCAGGGGTGGCCAGAATGAGGTATCATGGCGCCATCAAAATTTTTGAGGGGGCATATTTTGACAGGTTTTTGAATTTTTTAGGGGGGCGAATTTCGACAGGATTATGAATTTTCGGGCTAATGGACAAGGGTGACACAAGAAACTGACCAAAGCAAGTGTATTTATTTATGATCTACGATTTTTCGAATTCAACCTTAGCTTGCTCTGTTTTAAAGAAAGGTGAGGAATAAAATATCTTGGGTGAAGAGGGGGGGTGGGGGGGTAGGTTCTTGTGCCATCGACCTTGGGGGGGAGGCACCCCTGCTCCTAGTATAATAGTTAGTTATGTGGTTTATTCTTTCAAACTGTTCGCCAACCATAATGAATTATTGGTAGTTATAAAATAAATGTCACTATAATTGACTTACCAGCAATACCAGGGACTTTGTCGCCACCAAGTTTATCATCCTCGCTGGTCATTTTTCCAATAGTTGAACCTTCCTCGCTTTCACTGTGACCTACTACAAAAAAATAACACATAATCATAATAAAATTAATTTTTATTAACGTTGGTGTTACGTGCATACTTCTCAATTTAATAGATAATGCGTTTTTAATTGTGTTTAACTATAAATGTAAAATTCATTACGATATCACTTCAAGGTTTTTAGTGAAATTAGAAATTCATTCCTTGTTAGTCTATTTTTCATAAACTTTTCATTTTGGTACGTATTGACTCGCCATACTCATAAAGAGTAATTTATAATAATCATCCAAGGACGTCGATAATAAATCAGCGTTCACCAAACACCATGGCATGTGGGTAACAATTGGAGAGCTAACCCAAGAAAGAAGCCTACAATAATTAGTTGAAGCAGGTAGACCAAAATTTAATTATGATTTGCATGTGAGAGGTATGAAATCTGATCAAGACAAAGTAAGATTAGAGCACAGTAAGATAATCAATTTAATCAATTCGCAACTTGACTAAAGATTTCTTCTTATGTTCTTTATTATTTCATGAGGTATATATATATATACATTTTTTTTTTATTATCGAGAAATAATACATTTTGCCACATTTAAGGGCACTGAGTACTAAAGCTGAGTGAGGCCCATTCATACTATATATACAATGCAATAAAAATAAATAAATAAAAAATAAAAATATACCTCTATATAACAAAGGTAAAAACTATAAAACCAAAGAAATGTAGCTTGAAATCAAATTTAAAAAAAAAAAAAAATACAGAAATTGGTAGCAAATTAAATAAGTCATAAGTAAAACAAATATATATACAAAAAAGAAAAACATTCATACTTAATATATAAAAAAGAAAACCATTCATACTTAATTTACAATATTTACAATCATCCAAGGGAGCTAAAAACTATAAAACCAAAGAAATGTAAATTGAAATCAAATTAAAAAAAAAAATACAGAAATTGGTAGCAAATTAAATAAGTCATAAGTAAAACAAATAAATATACAAAAAAGAAAAACATTCATACTTAATATATAAAAAGAAAACCATTCATACTTAATTTACAATATTTACAATCAGCCAAGGGAGCTCCGAGTCCAGCCCTTTGCTCCACGTGTGAAGGACAAAGCGAGACTCTAAGAGATCCCAGCGCTTCTCTCTCAGCCGCATCACCGGCAGGAGTCCAGTGGAAACTGAGAGAGGGCACTAAAGCAACAGAAGCTCATGACGTGAGTGGAGAGGCTGGCCATTGCCAGAACTCCAATGACAGTCTTTACAAAAGGTCTCGAGGCCACTGCCGTTTCAACCTTCGAGGAGGGTTGTAGGGGTGACTGGAGCTGGATAAGGTTTGTGCTAAGGAGTTAGGATGGTGGATTAGGTTCAGATGAAAATTTGAGTATCGAGATGGAATAACGTCAAGGACATAAGGGATATAAAGGTCATGATGTAGGGTTTTGTTTGTAACATAATAAGGAGCATTGACTATTATACGGAGGACTTTAGACTGAAAGGATTGGATGCGTTTGATGTTCGAAAATTTAGTTGTCCCCCACAGTTCAAGTCCGTAGGTCCAGATGGGTTTGAGTATGGTCTTGTATATTAATAGTTTGTTTTCTATTGAGAGATTGGATTTTCTGTTAAGTAGTTTGTATAGCTGGCCAAATCGTCGGTTAAGTTCTTGTCTTTTAAGTTTGGTATGTGGGTTCCAAGTTAGTCTTTTGTCTAAAAGGAATCCAAGACACCGAACTGTGTCTGAGACGGAGAGAGGTACAGAGTTGAAAAGGATATGTGGACAGGATCTGCGTCGGAGGGTAAAGGTGACATGCTTGCATTTGGATTCATTTATCTTAATGCGCTAATTGTTGCGCCATAGCTCAATTAGGGAGATTTGTCTTTGTAGGTTTAAGGATGCTGTTTCAGGATCTGAGTGGGATGACAGGATGGCGGTATCGTCAGCGAAGGTTGCTAGAAGGGTATCGGGGTTGGTTGGAATGTCAGCGGTGAAGACGATGAAGAGAACTGGGCCCAAGACACTGCCTTGTGGAACACTAGCTTCAATTGGATAATAGTTGGAGAATTCAGTGCCGCAGCGGACTTGAAAGGAAAGATTTGAGAGGTAGGATTTGAGGACTAGGTACAAAGATTGGGGTAAGTGAGTTTTGAGCTTGAAAAGCAAGCCATCTTGCCACACCCGGTCGATAGCTAGCGCTACGTCCAGAAAGGCACCGGTGCAATATTGCTTGTTTTCAAGCGCAGAGGATATATGGTCAACAACGCGAAGGCCTTGTTGAACAGTGGAATATCTTGAGCAGAATCCAAACTGATGGGATGGGATATTGTGGGTTTCGAGTATGGGTAGGATGCGTTTGAGAAGGATTTTATCAAAGATTTTGGAGAGGATTGGGAGCAAGCTTATTGGTCTATAGGATGAGGTATTATTGACAGGTTTACCTGGTTTTGGGAAGAGGATGATTATGGAGTGTTTCCATGTCAGAGGAAAGTGAGTTGTGCGGAGAAAATAGTTGTATAGGTATGTGAGGAATATAATTGCTTTTTTGGGAAGTTGTCTAAGGATCTGGGAAGTAAGGAGATCGTGTCCAGGAGATTTTCGAGGTTTTAGGTTGCTTATAAGGAATTTGACCTCAGAGGGGTTGACAGCTATAGGAGGCAAGGAGAGAGAAATAGGAGAAGAGAGGATTTTTTTAACTTCAACAGTGAGGGTGGCATAGAGTTCGGGGTGGGGAGTAAATGTTTTGGATAGGTGTTTGGCAAATTCTTCAGCTCTAGTCTCATCTGACGAAGCCCAGGTTCCATCATCGCATCGGAGGGGATGGGAAACAGAATGGTATTTAAGGATTTTTCTGGTCAACTTCCAGAGGGAATTGTCATCGGTAGATAGGGAAGAGAGGTAGGAATTATATGATTGGGATCTAAAGGAAGCTGGTTCTTTTCTTACCTGTTTGGTATAATAATTGTACAGTTTTCGATCATCAGGATGCCTGGTTCTTTGCCAGATGGTCCTAGATTGGCGTTTGGATTTAATGAGGTCGGTAAGGATTTGAGGCAGAGGAATCTTTTTAAGGTATTTTTTGGAGGGGATTGGTGAGGATGCAGTCCAGACTGCTTGTTGGATCAAGGTGGTAAAGGAACTCACTGCATTATCTAATATATACATTAGAAGCCAGAATTGAGAGTTTTGAAAGAAAAGTTCTACGTAGGATAACAGGACCTATATGGAACCAGAACCTTAACACATGGAGGAGAAGGAACAATAAAGAACTGTTGAAAGAAACGGGTCAGTCAATATCTCATGACATGAAGGCAAGGAGGTTAAGATGGGCAGGGCATGTAGCTCGTAGTAATCCATCAGGACGCCTCTACAAGACAATGAATGCCAGAGTAGTAGGCAAGAGACCACGTGGGAGGCCAAAAACCAGATGGATAGATAGGATAAACAAAGATACGGCTGAGCTTCATGCCGCAAACTGGAAAGCAGTAGCCCAAGATAGGCAGAGGTGGAGAAGGCTGGTTCAGGCGGCCAAAGATCTACAAGGTCTGTAGAGCCAACCGAAAAAAAAAAAATATATATATATACATATATAAGAATAGAATAGAAGAATCAACTTTATTCTGCGACAAAGTCCCTTGAGAATAACAATATTGTACATAAAATTAACATTACATCTGGCCAAAATTCATATTACAATAAAAAAAAAAAATAAGGGATAAAAGAAGTATTTACATAACTGTACAGATATAGTAAAGACATAATATGAGCAATAAGGTCCTAATACTGCAAAATAGTTGCTATAAACAATAAGCTATGGAATTATAAATGAGCGACAAATAACTTTTGTTGTCATGCCATTGTATAATTGAAAAACAAATAATAATAATAAAAGAATGGATAAATATTTACTTTAAATGATTTACATATGTATCTTAGTATGTTCGAAGAATACAATAATAGTATTGTAAACATTATACAAGTTCTATATAATCTAAATCCTATGATGTTGATTGATTGGAGAAAAGAAAAGATAATATACATATAGGGGAGATTATATACATATATAATATACATTATAAATGGCTACCCAGCGTCTGATTGAATTGTAAGGAGAAATTGGAATAAGAGGGTTTTAAATGTGGATAAGGATGGTGCATGGCGGATTTTAAGTGGGATGGAATTCCAAAATGTGGTGGAGCGGACAATAAAGGAGTGTTGAAATGAGGCCGATTTGTGGATAGGGGTATAGAGGTCGGAAGGACGAGATCTTGTGGAGAGGGAGTGGATAGATGGTTTGAATTGAAGGAGATTGAATGCGTAGGACTGACGATGATTATAGATTATTTGGTAAAGGAATGTACCTAGGAAATACTGTCTTCTGAAGAAGGGAAAGAGCCAACTTAACTCGGCGTAGTAGTGGGAAACATGAGAACATCTCGGGGTTCCATTGACAAATCGTACTAAGCCATTCATTATTCTTTTCAATCTGTCTCCAAGTTCCGATGAGAGGCCACCGTAAACTACGCAGCCGTAGTCAATGTGGGGAAGATGAGGGCGGATTCTAGGAGTCTACGTGTGGATATGGGTAGGAGATGGCGGAAGCAATGGAAGAGTTTCAGGATGGAAATTGAATATGAGGGAAATATGGTGATTCCAGGAGAGGGTTTGATCTATGATAACACCTAAGTTTTTAACTGAAGTGTTGAAGGTGATGGGTTGGTCATTTAGGTACAGGAGAGGAATGTTGGTATTGGATCTGAGAAGGGTTTGGAACCAATGACAATGGCTTGGGTTTTAGCAGCGTTTAACCTTAATCCATTTTCACTTGCCCAGGCACAAATCCGATTTAGGTCTTCTTGTATTTTGGCAAACGCATCATGCCATTCAGAGGGAGCAAAGGAGAGGTAAATTTGGGAATCATCGGCATAAAGGTGATGGGAACAGTGAAGGATTGATTTATGAAGATCGTTAATATTTGAACTAAAAAGGAGAGGACATATGCTAGAGCCCTGTGCCACTCCTGAGGACAGAGTTAGATAGGATGATAAAGGTTGGTTGGGAATAGAGACTGCTTGGGTACGTTGAGAGAGGAATGATTGAAACCAAAGGATAGAGCTGTTGGAAAAGGATAACGATTTCAATTTGGAGAAAAGGATGGAATGGTTAATGGTATCAAAGGCTTTGGAAAAGTCTAGGAGGATAAGGACAGTTAGTTTTTTGTCATCTATGGCCGACTGAACATCACTAATGATTTTGATTAGGGCGGATTGTGTGGAGTAGCCTGGTCGAAAACCAGAATGGTAAGGGTCAAGTTGGTTGGACTGTTCTAGAAAGTTGGAAACTTGGGATTGGACTATTCGTTCTAGAGGTTTTGCAAGGTTAGAAAGGATTGAGATTGGACGGTAATCTTCAGGGGAAGAAGGGTTAGGATTTTTAAGTAAAGGACGGACAATGGCTTTTTTCCATGAGGAAAGGAATATTGCGTTCTGAAGGGAGAAATTGTAGATGAAAAGGAGGGCGGGAAGGATTTCAGGTAGGCACAATTTGATTAATTTGACGGGAATACCATCTGGACCAATGGAATTGGAATGAGATTTCATCACGGCGGATATGAGGTCTGTAGGAGAAATATCTGAAAAATAAAAGTTGTCGTCGTTAAATGATATTCCAGGAGTAAAGAAGGAAGAGGTTGATGGAGGAATGGAGGAGGAAGCTGATATAAAATATGAATTTAAATCATCAGGTTTGACTGGAAAGACATATATATATATATATATATATATATATATATATATATATATATATATATATATATATATATATATATATACACATATATATATATTACCGGCCTTATACATTCGGTGCCCCCCGGTCAATGACGTCAACTGTCCCCTCTAAAATATTAAATTTATTTCTTTATCTTTTATGTAATATTATATAACATTTGAATTTTATTCCATTCGACATTTCGGGAAGGCTTCAGCCCGAAAGCCTCCTCCCCTTCTCTCCCTCCCCCCTTCGTAGATCCGCCTGTGGAAAATGGCAAAATATCATATTTTTGATCGTTATCTTGATCATAAATAAAGTTCTGCCAAATCAGCTTAAGCCCAGATGGTATAAAAGAAAGGTATAGTACCGTTTTGAAATCAGTTTTCCATCTATTCACAAGATGTCTCCAAATCCAAATCTAGAAACACACTCCAAACTATTAACTATCTCTCCATAAAACTTTCTCTATTCGTTTTCGTTCTTTGGCAAACTCGAGTTTTTTTCACTTGTTTCCAACATTTCATGCCAAATAATAGGAGTTTTCTTCTGATCATGGAGGACAAAACTAGGATTCCTGTTGCATCGGCTATTGATTAAAAACATTAGTGATATATACATACATACATACATATATATATATATATATATATATATATATATATGTATGTATATTTACTTTCTCTTATTTTATCATTCTTACTTCTTGTACTTTTATTTTTACTTTGTTGTATGGTAATTTCCTCTTTTTTTTTCTTTTTTTCTTCATTCGGTATTTATCTCTCTGCTCTACGTGTCTGTCATCTAATCCTAAAGATGGTACATATGTTTTGACCGGTACATCAGTTTGTAATGTAAACTAAATTCGAAATCTATTTTATTTAATTTCTTTTTTAAGTCAATTTAACTGAAAACTGAAAAAATGTTATACTATATTCGAAAATAAAAATATTCGGAAATACCCGTACCTGTTTGTTTTCCTTGACAATTTCCAGAATCGTGCTGAGAAGTGCCGGGTTGAAGAGCGTACTGTCTCTGGGACATTTGTATCTGTTGGACGATTTGTTGTTGATGGACGACCATTTGTTGAAGCGTTTCGACATTATTCGTTTTATCGTGTGTCTGTACAAGTTGCGATTGTTGAATAATGTTTAACTGAAGTTTATCTTGAAGTTGCTGCATTGTCCTTTCAACTTCTTTTTTATATATGTCTTCTAAGTTTTCAGTTTTCTGAAATTGTGAAATAAATAATAAAAAAAATTAATATGAATAGGCATCATTGTTCAAATGTTAAAAGATTTCTAAATGTATTAAAGCTGTGTACACAAGTCATATTAAACGCGTTTTAACAACCTAGCATCACAAATGCTTCCGAATATTACTTTAATGTGTGCAATACGATGTATAATATAACTTCCAGCTACAATGGAATCATAAATACATGTATAACACAGATCAAATAATATATCAAAGAAAATTAAAGAAGCATTCGTAATTCTCAAAATTAATTTTTTTTTAAATACTACACTTCAAATGTTTTTGTAAATATTTAATGAATGTTATAATTTTATAATATTATTTCTATTTTAATATAAGATGTATTTTTAAGCAATGAATTCTGAAATGATTCATACCTGAATGTTTATGAAGAACCAAGTTTAACAATCTTTTTTACCTCGAGAAAAGAAATAATACTCTCGAATAAAACAAAATAGTTACTGTCATACTATTATTAGGTAAACTATTTAAAAAATAATTGATTTTTTTTTTTTTTTTTTGTATTTCAAGGCGCAGACAAAGTTTTTTTTTTATTATAATATTATAAAAATTTCTTAGTTGTTCTTAAATGTTTAATGTCATTTCATTATTTTTTAAACGCTTTTAAGAATAGTATAATTGTAATCAATTCCAGAGAAGATTATACTGCCAAAGTCCTGACGGCATGTATTCATCTGAATAACCTGGATTCTTCTACCCATTATTCAAAACGAATGTTACCACTGGACACTCACTAACAGCCATTATTAATCGCAATTATGTTTTGAAAAGAGCAAACATTTCTTTCTAAGCGAATTAGGTGCTATCTCCAATGTTCGGGAGCTTCCAAAGTTCCAGAAAAGGGAGTTCTCATCACCCAACCCCAGAGTCCAATCTATAGAAACAAAAAAAAAATATTTTAACAAGTATCTTCCCTATAAAATTATAACAATAGTTTTAATAAAGTAAACATTACCTGTGTTGAAGATATACTTATCACGATGGTTGACAATTCTCTTCATCATAATTCTGGTGAATTTAATTAATGAAACGAAAAACCACACTCCAAAACAAAATCCAGTTCCTTATTCAAATATTTTATCAGTATCATTCAAAAACAACGAAATATAATTTCTTATTGAATATATACTGATTAATCATCCTTGACCATTAACACTAATATAATTACACCAGTTATGTCAATATAATATAATGTTCCCATGCCATAGTTATGTTCTGTTTTTATTGTTAGAGAGATGGGGTTCATCTCTATTTCTTAAAACTGGAAACACATTTATAAATGTATGTTAATATATATTTTCATACGAGTAGAAGTAAGAAGCGTAATCACTCCATGAGTTTTGAAGGGATGGCCACCAGGAGCGCTAAAAGAAAACATTATCTCATTTTATCATATTTAAAATTTTTAAACAAATGTGAAATTGATGCCTATCAGACAATCTATAATTTAATAATGAAACGTGTAACATTATTAATCATTTCCTTTTTATTAGTATCAAGCAACGCATCTTGTTTTACACTTATGTGGTTAATGCCCCACCTTCAGGAATATACCTTCAGGTTTATACAAAAATGTGGAAGTTGCATAATATTTAGGTAAAAAATATAAATAATGTGAATAAACTCATTGAAATTATAAACAGTGTGAATGGAAAGTATATAGAAACATTAAGGACAAGAAACTATAATAACTCTTAATATTTTTATGTATTTTCTATTCACACTGTTTATAATTTTAATAGGTTTATTTACATTGTTTATAATTTTTATCTAAATATCATGTAACTCCTACATTTTTCTATATCCTTTTGTATCTTGTTCTTTCTAGCCCTGAAGAAGACCTGCAAAGTCGGTCGAAACGTTGGCTTGAAATCAATAAAATAGATTGTTCACTATTTTCTTTTTATGACCGCTACCTCGGACCATCTCCTCACTCAATAATGTACCACGGTCAAGGTTTCCGACCCAGAGCTCGCGGGCATCACTTGTGCCCGTCCATGTCTAAAATAACCTTGAGCGGCCATCGCTTTGACTACAGTTTTACTGTTGCCTACTGCAGATCGAAAAGTTTTCTATTAAATGTTAAATATTTATATTAATAAATACCTAATAATTAATTGTAACTATGAATGCTCGCTTTGAAAGTTGTTATTTATTTTTTTAAATCATAAAAACTTTTTACGTGGCATGCTGGTGATAGAAGAGTTTTCAATTCAAATGTTTTACAGTTTCTTTATTAAATATATGAATATTTAAAAATCCAACGAGAGTTTATAGATATAAAATTAAGAAATTATTATTATTACTATATACATAATAATAATAATTCATTTATCGATATAACATCACTACTATTTTTTTGATTAATTCCTTTCTTTTGTAGTAAACAAAATGAATGAAACTGTTGGTAACATTGCATTTAACTCATTTTATAACTAGTTATTTAATTTGAAAATGTTTTTAGATAATATAAGAAAACTATACAAAATTAATACAATCATTGCACTCTGTGTTTTCAACTTTTCTTTGGAAATATATTTCATTAAATTTAGAAATGATAAAGATGTCTGCTACTATACTTATACATATAGAATGCAACGCCATGCAAATCCCTTCTGAACGCCCCTGCAGAATGCACCATGATCTTCAGCTTTGCTGCTTTAGTGATTAATGAATTAAGGAATGGAAAACATGTTGTTCTCTGCGAGCACTCCCCTCCCCCCCTCCCCTCAGCCAATGAGATAAAGCTGCATCATTCAAAATTTCGTCCCAGCCTAAGCACATCTTGTAACTAATCAGTTTAAGGTCTAACATAAGTGAAAATCAATGAATCAGAAGATCCTGGTTGGTTATTAAAAAAAAAAATAATAAAATAAAATACTAACTTATTGATAAAATTTAGTTTTAACAATAAAGAATAGTAAAGAGAATATTAGAGGTTGAAACCCCAAGATAACTCTAGTTTCACGTGTCGACCATTAACAAAGCCAGGGCTAGAGTGATTACACTTCTTGTTTCTATTCGTTATGATATTTCACTTTCTTTATGGTCGACTTTAAAACACTGTTGCATTGTTTTTTGTTTTTTTTTTATATGCGCATGAGTCCTTTCTTCAAAAGTACTTGATTTAAAGGTAAAGCTCACAGATAGATGATACCTCAGGTCATAAACAAACCTTAGCTTCAACTAAACGTGAACATATTTACAAACTGTATAATGTCCAAAGCTTGAGTTCTGTCGATTTTCTTCAGAATTTCTTGATTTGGGTTTATAACATGAATAGGAGGAGGGATATATTACAATTGTCTTTATGCGGTGAAGAACTGGAGGAAGCAGACGGAACTTTGGTAGAAGTTACCAGACAACCTTCTCGAACATTCTTATTATAACGAGCTTCGTTGCTCCAATTAACAGCCTGAAATAAGATATATTTATTTGCACCGGATATTTATGACATTAATTTAATTTGAAGCAATTAAAGTTTGACAAACTATGTTTTGAATTTGTAATTCCAACATTGACAACCTTAATATTAAAATTGAAGAAACAAGTGTTCAATCCACAGGAATTCTAGTGTTTCCTTCCAACTGTTTATGTTCTTATATGAATTTTGAATGCTTCAAATGTCCTGACGTCATCACTGTAAAACATTAATACCATATTTATAGTGAAATTAAAATAATGACTCCTATATTTAAATTTAATAACAATTGAGTATATTCGAAAATCATTAAATGCATTCTGGAAATAAAACAGAAATTCCAAACACGATCCTCTTTTTAGATCATCATAAATTAAATGAATTTGTTTTGTTTTTTTGTATTCCCAGTTTAAATATAAACAAAAACCTGAAAACTGAACTGAGAGTGAAGAGGAAACATGCATAAATAACCTAAAACGTATTATACCGTCTACTAATATTGCTGTTAAGTAATATATTTTTGCTATGGGGTATTCTAAAAATTGTTTACCTTATAAAGGTTCCTATCCAAATTCCGCTACACTAAAACGTAAAAAGTCACATAATTTAAAAATGAATTGAAACTCGTTTTAGATAATTTAATACTGAGCACATATTAGGAGTTGCCAAAATACATGTTTGAAAAAAAAATTTTGGTTGAATCTGGCTTGAAGATTTAAAACAACTTGCAACAAATACAGTAGCGTAAATAAGGTCGGAAACGCAAGGAAGTAAAAATTCAAAGGAGGCCCCTGTCTATAAGGATTTTTATAATAATCTCTAAATAGTTACAGCCATATATCAATTTCAATAATAAAGGTTTAAAAAAAAATCATAATTGCAAATTTTTTGTAGAAAAAATTATTAATAATGATATAATTTGTTTACCATAAAGAATAGCGTGTTGTTTGGGGCTTTTGCTTGTTTATTTCTGACCTGGGTACAAAGTGTTTTAATTATTATTTTAAAATACTGTATTTAAAATACAGTGTATTTTAAATATCATGTATTTAAAACACTTTCAGAATAAGTATTTTAAATACAAATACAAAGTACTTGCGGCTAAAGTACCTTGTTGCACTCACATGCGGATTTACGGGGGGAGGGGCTTTCGGGATGAAGCCCCCCCCCCCAAACGGTAAAATATAACCATGTTTAATAGAAAAAAATATTAAAAACTATCTCTAAAAGTATTATTGTTCGTGTAATTACATTTTATAGGGCTTCAAGAATCACTTAAACACCATTTCATATAGGTAGTTCATTTCTTTCTTCTTTTTTTTTCAAAATAATTATCGTTATATATATGAAAAAAAAAATCTTTCGGGCTGAAGCCCCCCCCCCAAAAAAAAATTAAATCTTGGATGCGCTAGTGGTTGCTCTTAAAAACTGCTTTCTATAAAAAAATGATAATTTTTTTAATTTTATTTATTTATTTTGGTTTTGTAAGGAAAGCAATGATGAGAAGTGGGCACACCGGATATATTTTTAAAACAATTGAGAAAATATAATCTATTTGATCAATATTTGAAGAATTTGTTAAAGAAATCATGATTAACCAACAAACAAATAAATAGGCTAAGTAGATATTAATTCCAGATTAAACTTTTGGCAATTAACTTTTAATGATACCCGTTCCTCAAACAATTGACCATTCAACTACTTCATTCTGGGAGCATCCAACAAATAAGAGAACGAAAACAGGAGTTAATAAACGTGGAGTTTCAAATTAAATCCAATTCAATTTACACAGAGCGAGAATTTGTATATAGAGTGGTACTTCATTGTTTGCCTCCTTTAAGTTTAGTCATTTGTAGGCTCAGTAAATAAAAACAAATTTTGTTTTCCGAACAATATATCTATTGATAATATACTCTTCCACCCTTCCAGTAAAAAAATTTTGTAAACTTTCAAAAATTCTAAATATCTACCATTTTTTTGCAAAAGATAATTGTATTAAAAATTTAGCTGCAATGACCTTAAAAAAAAATTCAAGCTCAATTTTCATTGGTGAGTTATAGTACGAACGATTAGGCTTACTACGTAACTTGAAGGCGCCTTCTCAATTTGATAATGTACTTAGAATACATTTAATGTATTTTTTCTTTTAATATTTTAATAAAATACAAATACATTTTAATGTATTTTGTAATTTCAAAATAAAATACAGGTACAAATAATGTATTTTGTAATTTCAAAATAAAATACAGGTACAAATAATGTATTTTGTAATTTCAAAATAAAAAACAGGTACAAATAATGTATTTTATATTTTACTTATAAAATATAAATTTATATAAAAAATGTATTTATTTTGTCTTTTAAAACACTTTATTTGAAATACTGCCCTAGTCGAATTTATTTGTAGAAGACAAATTTAAACTCAATAATTTAAAAAAATAAATTAAAAATAATATGGAAAGAAAATTATTAAACTATAAACAATCTTTTATGATAAATATTTATTATAAGTTAATAATTCATTATAAGAATGATTTAGATATCAAAAAATATTAGTTATTCTGGGTGCCTCACAATACCTCATTTTTTTAAACAACTTTTGGTGAATCTCAACTTATTTCATAATAAACCTTAACTTAATTAGTATGTCCTTAAAATATATTAAACAAGAATGTTTTTCTAAAAGTGGGATATCTGTAATATAGTTGGAGGGTGATTTAACAACAATCCGCTAATATTTCATTTTTTTTTTTTTTTAACAGAACTTAGTTTAGTTTAGCCGCTCAGAAGTCCTCTTTAAATGATTTTAACAATAACAAGCTCTACTTTCATTTGAAATAACTTTTTTCTACTTCACTGTGATGCAATTGTTAATTACTTAAATTACATATGTTGTTATTTATCGCTTACTATTCGACAAAATACGTGACTTGTGAAAAAATCTTAAATTTCCTACTTTTCTAAAGAAAATGTGACCTCTGTTCAAATGAACTTTTTTAGTGGCCTTGAGGTCTGCTATCACCTATTTAAATATTTCCATCTGCGAACTGGACACGCTGTGTATTTTTTTACTTAGCAGCTTTTGAAAATAGGTTACTAAGGCCCAAAACATCAAGCAAACAAAATAATGGTAAAAAAAATCATATATAGACCTTATTAATTCTTCCTACAAAAATTTGCAATGATTTTGGGGGGGCTTCAGGCCGAAAGATTTTTTTTTTCATAAATCTTCATAAAAATAATTTGAAAATAAAAAAAAGAAATTTACTACCTATATGAAATGGTGTTTAAGT